ACGTGTCGTCTTAAAGAAATGAATTATACTGGCGGAAGTATTCTTCTCAAGAATCTCTCAATTTTTAAGAAAACTTCCCCCCCCCCCCCCCCCCAAAAAAAAAAAAAAGAAAGAATGACGATGACAGTCCACGTATACCTTCATAATTCTCGCCGCCCGATTCTCTTTATCGCTGCTATCTGGTAACCAGGAATCGATAAAGTCCTCGTAAATTGTGCCAGCCACTGTGTTCAAAGCGGCGCTCATCGTGGAGAGGCCAGCGCTGACGAGACCGGCAAGAAAAAGGCCCGGAAGTCCTGGAATATTCGCGGCGACGTCCAATACGTAATACGGAAGTAATTGGTCGCTCCTGGAAATTACCTGGAAACGAATTTATTAACTTTATTGAGAACGGAGAACAAGAGCAATCTAGTCTGTAACCATACGGGATTAAGTAACGAAGAAAAAAGGATACACACGTGTGTACTTATAGGATCGCACTTGTGATACCTGGCGTACATTATAAGTCCCGTAAATACCGACACCCATTTTACTATCACAATGGATATCCCCATGGACGCCATTGCCCTAGCAGAAAAAGGAAATCGAGGCTCAGTACACGTTTCTCTTGCTTTTAAATGGCATGCTTTTAACGGCACCGAATATGAAGATCCATCTGATTGGTCAGAAATGACTGCAATCACTGAAATTACCATTCGTCTGGCATATGCCATTAAGCGTTTCTCGTCGCGAATTTTTATAGTCATTTACGAAGGGACTTTTTTCAGTTTTTTTTTTTTTTTTTTTTTATTAATTTCAATGAGCCTTGATATTATCAACTAATTATTGTACAAATGAATTATTAACAAACTATTCTTAGATTACGAATATTTCTGACACGATAAGTATTTATTTCTGTGCAAAGCAAAATTATCTTGGATCAGAATTATTTTATTTATCCCTGATGACAGAATTATTTTCATAAATACTGTTGATCTCACCTTTTATATCCAAACAATAAATAAGCAGCTTTTAATTTTAAGTAGTAGTTTCAACATTAAGTAGGATTCTATATCAAAGATAATATCATTATAAATTTTCATAATAGTTGTATCTGTGAAATGCCCTCTTAAATATCTTAAATATCCATAGACAAACGACAAAAGTAACAACGCAAGAACTTTCACCATTTTTCTTTTTGCCCGCAAATCGACATTTAATCAAACGAAAATGGAGGCTCATATTCGGCACCGTTGCTCTAATACTCACTTATGCGCTTCCTTGACGTTCGGCACAGATAAAAATCTTTGCACGGACGATTGATTAATGCCCAATCCTGTTAACCACGTTATCGTCATTCCAACTGACATTCCCCAAAATGAATTTCTAACAAATGGGCTAGGGTCCATACTGCAACGTGATAAAACAAATAAACCGTAAATCAAAAATTATTCTACCGTCTCGATATGTTCGAGGCTCAATAGACACTCGTACTTCCAGAAAACTATTCTTCTACCCTCTTCCGATAGTCTCCAAACCTCGGATACACCGCCCACGGCCATGGTGCCCAAAACAAACACGGCAAACAAACTTCCCAAGGTTACAATCATTTGAATGGTGTCCGCCCAAACTACAGCTTTCAATCCTCCCTGAACGTTTTAAGAAAGGTATAAATACACTGTCAAAACGAACGTATCATTAATTGTATTAATTATTTATGCACCGGTGGAATGTAATCGTTGTAATCGCCAGTAGATCGTATTTAGATTTTGCAAGCAGTGTAAACATTTGACGAAAATCGACCTGCTATGTAAACAACTGTAATTCCGTTTTAAATCATAACCATTACAATTTTATTCGTATCTTTCGTACAATCTGCTTTACTCCCATAGTCTCTCTCGTGTGCGATAACGTTGAGATTAGGTAAATGATGCTCGTAAATATCGCATTATCATCTACTCGTCATTTCGAGTCATTCACTTTCGACTGACAGAAACTGATCTACACGTGTTTTTCTTTTTTCTTTTTTTTTTTTTTTTTTGCTTCCTCTAGCTCATTTTAACTCATTAAAGCGAAGCAACAGTTCAATCGTCATTTTCTTTCGTATTCAGTTTACACTGCCGATCAGAAATCTCAGGACATTTTTAATATTCGATAATTATGCTAGATAATTAAATTTTTAGTACTTTTTAACGATGATTATTACTATGATAATATTCGTATTTTACAGATTCGTTATTTTATATAAAGTAATGTTTAATTTTAAAGCTTTTGATGTCGCAGAAATATGGATGCCTAAAGATCGTTCAATGCCATCTAGCTTTGGAAAAACAAAAATATATAATAGGGAAATATATAATCAGGAGAACAGAAATATATAATCTGACGAGAAATCATTGAAATTTCTAAAAAAGAAAGTTTCTCTTCTAAATCTGTAAAATTTCCGTGGAAAAGTTTCGAATTAATTATCTTCATTATTCGGATGTAGAGATACTCGAGATAAATCCATCAAGTTGAGCAAATCAACGATTGAGTAAAAATCACTTTGAACAATTTAAATGTGAATGAAGAAATTTTATATTGAAATTTGAATATGAAATTTTGAAACTCAATATGCACTATTATTAATACGCGAGTCTATGAAAAGTTAAGTGAAATGGACTTGGAACGATCATTAAACGTGAAACCTCTGGGAAAATCATTGAATACTCCGTAACTGGATTTTTCTCAAACGACACTTACGATCTATTTAAAAAGTAATTATAATCGGAGTAACTTACGATGGTCGTGTAGAATGTGCATACAGTGCAGATTATCGGAGTAAGCAGGTAGAGATTGATCGATGTTGCCTGCGAAAATGCTAGCGCTGGTACGTATATGATCAAAGGGACATAAATGATCAAAGAAAATGTATAAAGAAACGAGGCGAATAGCCGGACGGACCTCGTAAACCTCAGTTCCAGGTATTCAAACGAGCTGGTCGTTTGTAATTTATAAAATACCGGTATGTAGATGAGCGAAACGAGAGTACACGTTATAAGCGATGTAAAAATACAGACAGCGTACTGTGTGCCATATTGATATACTTCGACGGGTATAGCGAGCAAAGAGACTGCCGATATGTGACTGAAATAAATTAAAAACATTGTGAAAGAATTGTCGAATCAATTTTCATCGATTCGATTGACTCGTGTCCTTTAGAAGAAAAAAAATACTTTCGACAACGTTTTACCTGGCGACCAAGCTCATGCTAACTGGGAAACAGGACATCGTCTTTCCTCCGAGCAAATACTCAGTAGTGTTGTCCTGCTTTTTGTCGAAAAAACCAAAATAAATCCCTATGAGGACACTGATCCCTAAGAGACTGCTGAACAATGTGTAATCGGTCCATCCAAACGTAAGTTGCTTCAGTTCCGTTCCGAGCAATGAACTCGTTTCGTTCTCTGCCATTCTAAAATTAATGAAATCGAAATTGAAGATTAACTCACGATAAAAGAAGACGGTAGAGGAGTTCGTCCACTTTCGTTCCACGGCGAGTGAAACTATTATTGATCAATTATCGAAATTAATAAAACTATTTCACTTTTTCCTTCATTCGCAATAAGATAATGCTCGATCAATGAAGTTCGATATTTGCCACACTTACGTCTTGATTTTTTTGATTTTTGTTGCTTTGTTTATCAAAGAACGAGATTCATCAATACGTAAATCAATAGTTGAAATCTAAGCTGTTAATTTAGAGGATTTCGGAAAGGCGTCAAACTGATGGTCAATCTATAAATATTAAATACAGCAATTTCGTAAAAGCTTGGAAAAGTACTCGATGCGAGCTACATTCCTACTAATAATGATAACGTTCAACTCAATGCTATATGTTCTGCTCATTTTGCACGAAATATCAGTCTAATTTACGATAGGTAGATAAAGTTCCGTCTTTCGTAATGTTCTGTAAATAGATGAGCATCCTGAAATCAGTCTGCCAGTTGAATCTTCAGTTCCTCAGTTACCGATATCATTACCATTTTGTTTGTTAAAAATCTACCAAGAATTTTCGGTCGGTCATATATCCTTCACGCTAAAGCAGCAATGACGACAAATATTGGATCAAACGGCTGGATCCTGTCAATACGGACAAAAAAAAAATTCTCGCGAATAGAAAAGATATGAAAATACAAGCAATAAATTCCTCGGACGCTAAACAAACATTGCTCCTATCTAGGAAGAAATAGTTCAGTCGAACTAAAAATTATATATAATGTAATACTACGTAATAGAGAGAGAAAACCAAGATTAACATTTATAAGAATCTGTATATATTTTTCTGTTCTTTGTATATAATTATACAACGTTAGTTGTTTCTAAGATGTTCCATACAACAACCATTCTGTTAACTCCTGTAGTTTTTGTTGTCTCTCTATATCGGTACAATTCCCTAGGAGATTATCTAAAATTTTCTTTTCTTCGAAATCCAGTTCCTCTATTGGATTCAAAGGCTTAGTGACCATGCTTGGAAGCGTAACGTCATAATAAAGAAAAATCTGTAAATATTGGTTATTGATCTTACTTGTTCATCACAAGCTTGCTCATTACAAATAATAAACTTTACCTTGTTATTGAAACTGTTATACACCAGACAAGGTGTTGGAAAACCAGGAGTAACATTATAGTTACCAGTACAAAATGCTCTAACTGGCTCTTCAAATTGAAAACGTACGCTATTGCGTTGTTGATCTAAGATGTAGGTTTGCCCATCCCATGCGCAAGCTACTATCTCATCAGAACCGTCACCAGTTACGTCTAAGCGACATAAAGCGAATATCTGATGATCTACTTGCATCGACCTAAAAAATAGTGTGTAATTTATAGAATATATATATTTATTTGTATATATATTATATATCTGCAATTTTTAAATTTTACCATAATATGATTTCATCCTTAACTAACATTATTGTCCCATCTAAAGTAGCAAGAGCGTAAGGTTTTCCTTGTAATAAATTATTTTGTATGTTCACATCAATTTCAGTTTGACTTTTTCCTTTTAAATCGTTTGTCTTACTGTTACTGCCAATATCTTGGCGCGAAAAATGCTTGTATGTAGGCAGTAGAGAATCCTTTTCCGACTTAACATCGTAATCACCAATAATTATGTTGCCTCCAAGAACGTTACCGTCAATTTGATCTCGACTAGGATTCGTTTTAGAATTTTCAGTCGTTAAACTTTTCCTACGTCCTTCCGCAGTACTAAAGCTGTCTTTCCTTACTTCCGATTGTGAGTTATTTTTTTTAAGTTCTAACGAGACAGATTTCAAATTTTTACCATGTTGAGTTTCACTTGATTTGAACAATGACTCTTTGAATTCGTAATTCGACACTTTATTCTCTACTATACACTCCAGATTTCCAATAATTTCAGTTGAAATATTTTGATTGCGCATTCTTGATATTCCTAACGTCTGATAGTCTACGCAACTCGCTGCTGTTTCGTTACCTTGGTGGCGAGTTTCTTCCTCTAAATGGCAATCTTCTGGATTACATTTAATTCGCATAAACGTTCCGCCAGGTTGAGCAACTAACAAAGTTGGTGTTCCGTCTGCCATATGCTAAATAAAAATTTCAAAATTTGTCATTACCTTAAATTAAAATTCCCCCTTTTTATATATTTATTATACCTGTAATGTGACTGTTCCTATTTGATTGGCACATTCCCACTTATTTAATCCAACTAACTTTCCTCTTCCTAATTCTAAATTGCTTGACCATCTGTAGGATCTAACCACACGGTCAGTCAAACCAAGTATCATCTCGTTTGCACCATCTTTATCAACATCTGCTACTAAAACCATCTTTGTATTGGTCGGAATTCTTTGTACATGGACACATTCCATTTTACCAGATAATTCGCTAAGTTCGTTGTTGCCATCTACTTGATCTAAACTTAAGGAACTTGTCATATTAACAGCTGTTTCTATATCCATGTTTGCATGACCTATGATGTTCATTCAATAATATACAAACTATAATTTTCTTTTAACGCGATACAATTTTCAACTCACCATGTTTTATGTTATCTTGGTCATTTGCTTCTTTTATTAACTGTTGAGTAGAAGTTGCATTGATGATACTAGGATTGACAGATCTTGGGCTATAAAAGATATGTGCCCAGCCATCTCCACATATTACAACCAATGCGTTTCGTCCATAATTAAAAATATCTCCTATTGCTACACTAGTTACAAGACCTAATCCAGGTATCTTTTGCCATAATTCTAAACCCTGTAATATAGTAATGTAACAATTTATGACAATGAATTACTAGTAAATAGTATAATATCTATTTACTTTAAAAATATAAAGTTCTCCTTCTGCAGTGCCAACAACTAATTCATTATCACCATCATTGTCAACATCTCCTATTGTTAAACCATATCTACATACAGTACCAGGTAAATCCCACTGCAGTCTTTTAACAAAACTAACAGCCCTCATTTTTTTCTCTTTTTTTTTTTTCTATATTATCCAGCTGGTACTTTTGGTGAATTTAATGGAAAATCATGATTTGTCATAGAAGGATAAAGATATTGCCAACGGCTAGGTGGCCAAACTATAGAAGTAGCTTTAGCAGTGATCAATCCAAGAGAAACTGGTCCAAAGGTATTGGAGTCCATAGAACGTCCAATATGATCTCCTTCTACCCAACAATGACCTTCTGGTACCTAAGAAGTAATTATGGATATAATTATCAAACTTGTATAAGTAAAGATTTGTATAAGCAAAGAATAAATAATTCTCAATACCTGTAGAATGTCTGCTTTATAACCATGTGTACGTACAATGTCTCCAGAAAGTCCTACGACACGTTTAATCAAAATTTGCTGTGGAGTTTTTGGAGATTTTACAGTTACTATTTCACCACGTTGAATATCTTGGGTACGAATTGCCCGACGATTCAGAAAAACATAATCAGGATTCCTTACATCTGGATTTAAAGTTGGTTGCATAGAAACTCCTTCTACCTTGGCTACATAACCAATTGTATCCAAAAAGGTGATTCCAATAGGAATGCCTATAAGGATACCCTCAAAAAAATGTCGTATTTTCATCTATTACATTTATCCACTAAAAATAATAAAAATATTTTAAATTAAACATACATAAGTATATATAATATATTTGTTAAACATGTAATTAAACATGTATATAATCACTAATTCATTAATTATAATTTTGTAATAACAAATATTAACTCATGTTTCAAACAAAGAATTTATGCTTTTTTCATTATTACAAAATTATTAATAAAATTTTATAATAGTCTTTTATATATAAATTGAAATAACCTTTTATAGGTTAATATATAAAATATAAAATAAAGAACTTATTTTAATCTTAAATTTTTTATAGTATTAAAAAACTTGTATTAATAAAACTTTTATAATTTATAAGATACTAAATGAATCTTATTGTTTATTAGATTATAATTTCGAAATAAACAGAGGTTACAAGATAATTTATGTGATACATTTAGGTTAGGGAACTTATGTATATCGTTATGTACATACATATGTGTTTAGATTGCAATATTGTGTGCAAATGTACAATATTATTAATTTAGTTATTTAATGATACTACATAAGTATTTGTTCTTTATTATATAGTTTGTATAGTTTCATTATAAACTTGAATCATTCATATAATGTAGATAATTATATTCTAAAAAAAACATAAACTTCTTAATATAATAATATTATTTATTTCTTTAATAAAAACATTAAAGATAACTATTACTACTAAAATATACAAGCTTAAATAATCTATTACTGGACCGGTATTCTTATTAATACCATAAACGCAGAACTCGTTTAGACATAAAATAGCAATCAACTGAATCACTATAAATGATTCTTTCTATAAAAAAAATTAGTTTCTCATCTTCTATAATTACAACCATTTCTCTCGTAATCCCCAAAGCAAAATAAATTGTAAAATTTGATATATTATTATTTTATATTTTGTATAAAATTAAATATATTCTACCGAATTCAACTGTAATAATTCAATAATCCCAAGATTTGAAACAATGACTTGTACTTGAATCAACACGTGTCGTGCAAAGATGAGAAGAAAGAGATTCCCCGAAAAGAATGTGGATCTGTTTGGTTTTTCCAATCCATTTTTAAATTTAAGAATATTGGTTGAGAGTGTCACGCAGAACAAAATCTAGTGGGTCGGTTATTGAGAGAAAGATCTGCTTCCTTTGCTCTTGCATGGGATTTTTCATTTTTGTACATAGATACAGCTATATATAACCGAAAACATACAATTTGCAATTCGTCAGTAGATGGTACTAAAGATGAAAGTGTTCTGTACGCTGCACGCTTAACCTAAAGATCGCACTTATCCGTAGCTAAGCGGCATCCACTTAAGATTTGTAATATTCGTGTGTTTGGAACTGGTACAATTAAGGAAAGACTGCATGTCCTAGCCGCTAGAGGCATTAAAATACTAGCGTTGCGTAGCGGTGAAATGATGGAACTATTATATATTGTTGTCCTTGTCGCACACTATCACTCTCCTTGTCTACGGCGCGAATATGTCCTTGTCACACGCTATCACTCTCCTTGTCTAGCGTTATTAGACAAGGAAAGCAATAGTGTGGGACAAGGACATCCTTCGATCTATTTAAAAAAAAAATTCAACTTTTTATACACACGTTTTTCTAGGACAAAACACAGATAGAAAGAAAGCGGGGAGCCTAATTTTAAGGAAGCATATAAAAAAGTTCGCAAATTATTCCTCTAAATTAGGTTTTTTTCGTAATTAGTGCGAACTGTCACAAAATGGACATGATGGCGCCATCTAGCGGTAACTCAGTGGTACTAATTATTTGTAAAAATACTTATTTCTGCATTTTACGGGTCAAATGGGGTATGAAAAGAAAGCTAAGGGTCTAATTAGGATAATACAATCACAAGAGCTCACAAATCATTTCGCTAAATTACGTTTTTTCGCAAATGAAAATTTCTCTATTTTACGGGGTAAGAAACACTAGCGCCGCGTTGTGGCAGACCGGTGGAACTAAACGCTTTATAATCATATAAAGGGAACAATTAATTTTAATTTTTCACGCCACAAATTTGCACTCCACGAGCATGTATTTCAAAGATAATGCTATCAATTACGTTCGCAAATAAATCTGAATCTAATATTCACTATAGTTTGCGAGAAATTGTACACTCACTACTGGCGCTACTACTAACGTAAAATAAATTGAAACGTTCTTTATATACGTAAACTATACTTAAACAAAACATAGAACGTATATTAAGGTCTCTGAAATTGAAGACGCAATCATAACAGTTCACAAATGATTCCTTTTAATTAATGTCTTTTCGTAATTTGTGCAAAAACTATCACCTGTCAATGTTTAGAAGCGACGGTGGCGCCATCTATTGATAACTCGGTGGTACTAAAAAGAGAAATTCTTGTTTTTTAGTGTGCGATAAGGACAGTCATATACGTGCGATAGACAAAGAGAGCAACAGCGCAAATTAGTTCCATCACCTATCCTAGGGGTGATCCACACGGTGCATGCTACTATAATGGACGAATCATCATTACAAAATGCTCCTACTTTGATTATAATTTAACTACATTTTAAAGCAATTATCATAAAAAAAAATCAGTTGATCATTATCAAAGTCATTTATATTGTACTTGTTTTAAACAATACATAGGGAAATATATAGGGTTTTTAACAATTTTACGATTAGGCGTAATTCCTAAATTATAATATAAACTAAATTATAACTAATATAAACTAAATTATAACTAATATAATTTATAAAATCCGCGTTTTTTTAATAGTATGTAATAGGTATTACAAAAAATGCGGAAACTTTATATTATTGACATAAAAATATCTTGAAACGTATTTAATCATAATCCACAATTAATGTCATTTATTTATATTGACATATAACTTCATCTTATAATGACTATTAAAATATGACTTGGAACATTAAAATATGTTGTTAACATTATGGAAGATCATGCAATTAAACTAATTTTTTTCATTTTTACCTAGGAATACAACTTTAACTTGTATTTTAATTTTTACATTTTTACATAACGAACGCCACATAATATGATGAATATTTGTGTTCAATATGAACTGCACAATTAAACATAGGTATGAAAATGACATGGCTATATACTAAATGGTTTTATAAAGTACATCATTAAAAAATTCTCATTTAAATGTGACTCAAATACTGCATACAGAATTCCATATGAAGTTGAATACGGTAAATAAAAAATGAACAAAAAGTTAATAAATTGCCAGCATAATAAAAAATTCTAAATAACATTAAACTCAAATGATTGGTATGTGTACAAGCATTACAGAGATCAGTGCTTGCCAATCATCATACTCAATATAGAATTAATACCACAGTAATACATATTAATAATTATTTAGTGCCTATTGACTGCTTGATTTCTGTGGTCATCATTGCACAATAACTCATTGGACATGTGCACGGTGCATTGCCTTTTATTTGGCCCCTCTGATTAGTAAATTTTTGATTCTATGAAATATAAATATAAGATACAATAGGCAAAAATGTAATCATACAATAAATTCGATTTTTATAAACATATTAGGTCTTTGGCAGTGCTTAACCAAGATCTATACCATGTAATTATTTTTTAATCCCTTTTTACTATAGTCTGTAAATTTTCAAGATTGGTAAACACTGATTTAGTTAAACATTGTTATTATAGTTTTTTCTTTTTATTCTGAACTGTCTTTTCATTATAAGGCAACCCATTATTTTCATTATTTTCATTCTTTAATTTGCGCTATTTCACTTTCCTTTCAAAAATTTTTACAATTTCGTTGTTTTTACAACCGTTATTATCTTCTGATTTTTCATATTTGTTGTCTCTCACTAATAAAATGAGATTCATTTTTTATATATTTTCTCTATTGTTCTGATTTCTCTCTTGTTTGCCTACCATTTCTTTTTCTTCTTCTTCTTCTTCACTTTCTGTCATTTCCTGTTCTTCATTCTCCTCATCTTCTTTTTCTTCATCCTCACTTTCTTCCTCTTCATTTTCTTCTCCTTCCTCCACTTCCTCTTCGTCTTCCTCCTGCTCTTCTTTGTTATCTTCTTTTTGGTTTCCTTCTTCATCGTCCTCCTCCTTTTCATTATCCTCTTCATCTACTTCGCCTTCTCCTTCAGTATATTTCTCTTCTGCTTTTTCTTCTTCTCCATCATCAGATAATTCTACTTCTTCTTCATCTTCTTCTGTTTTTTCAATTTCATCTATTTCCATCTTGTTTCTTCCTTCGTTTATTTGTTCTTGTTCATTTCTAAACCTTTCTTGTTCTAGATATATGTCATGCTTTTCTTCTTCTTTGTTTACTTGCTCTTGTTTCACTTCCTGACTTTTTTTCATTTCATCAATCTGTACTTTACTGGCATCTACTTCCTCTTTTTCATCAGCTATTCTTAATAATTTTCCCATATCTTTTATGTTCGAGACTGTTGTATCTTCTGCATTTTGTATTTCTCGATCTTCTTTTTCAAATTCCTAAAGTAATGGTACGATATTTAGTATCTTCATTTTTAGTATAACATTATAATGTCTAAATTATATAAAGAAAAACATATAAAGATTGTATTCAATCAAGTGTAGTAATCATAAATTCAGAAAGAAGTAACTAAATGTAAAATGATTGTATGAATTTAAACAGTTTAGGCGAATAATGTATGGTATTTTGTAACAAAGTTATAAATTAATTATTCAGTTATTCATATGTTAGTCACATAAATATTAATATTTATAACAGTGAGAAAAATGCGATATATGTAATGTGTACATATTTGTTCAAAACTAATAGATTAATAATTTATTTAGTAAACAATATAAATTAAATATTAGTTCTTAAAACAAATCATAAATTAGTAATTGCTGTTGCACAATAGCATATTAATGTTCCATTTATGTAAGTAATTATTCGAAAAAATAATTTATACATCCTACCCGTGATCTGTCATTTTCATGTTAAGTAATCTGTACAGAAGCAAATAATTAAATGAATGAAAGAATCACCAAATAAAACAAGGCTCCGCAGATTCATTTGATTCTGTTGGTAATTCTAATATTTTCTTACAGCTGCATTTTGGTCGAGACTGATGAGAGAGAGGGTCATTTTGCCTGAAAGCACAACAGGTGCCTCTACATCTTCTTCTGCTTTTTGAGCTTGTGTTTCTGAATCTGTTACAAGTAATTCACACTGTGGAGGAAGTGCACCTTCTAAATATATTGGTTTTGGTGGTGTCTTTTCTCTCTCAATATGACTGAAACAATTTCGTTAGAATTATTAAATATACTATATATTTCAACAAATGTATTTTTTCTCAAAATATTTTCTTTACCTTTGTAAAATTGGAATTATAGGAGTAGTAGGTCTACTACCCTTACCCTCGCAACTAGCTGTCATTTCCATACCCATGACTTTAACAGTTGGTGAATGTTCCACATTTTCTACTTCTTCATCTGTTGTACTATGTTCAGCCTGGACAACGACATTGTCCTGTAAATTAAATAATACAAATGAATAAATTTATGTACTATTTTTTAAAAATAATAATTGAGCAATTTCCAATAGAAAATAAATATAATATATAAATAAATATATTAAAATAGTTAATACTTATAAATCACTAAAAAATATGTTTCTCTTTTTTAAATATATTTTAAATGTATACAATGTAGCATTTAAAATATACACATTTTACAACAAAAAGTTATTTAAAAATCATGCTATTCTATAAAAAAAAAATTGTAATGCAACAATAACTAAATACTCTAAATAATGATAATTAATTTGTAAGCATGCATTTAAATTATCAATTATGTTTAAGCAATTTTAATATGTTTTAATATGGTTTGCCACATAATAAATACAATGAAACACTGTTATTGCAAAATTGATTCTTTAATATCAGAATATAAAAGTATCTGAATGTACATAGATTACATTCAAATGATAATATTTCGCTAATATTTATTTATCGACATGTCCGAAATTACCGAAATTACCAACAATTATTTCATTAAAAACAATTTCCATCGACAATATACTTATCACTATACCATTAACAATACATCTTTATTCATAAACTCATATATGAAAATAATAATGAGGAGAATTATAAAAATTATTATAACATATACATTGTTATATTATCCATTAACATAAATTATATATATGAACAATTGAAATGATTGTTGGTGATTCAAATATACGAGATTCATTACTTGTGGGAAAAATATAAAACAAACAATTTGTCACAAACTGGTTACTCTTGTTAGGTAATCTTTGAGGCAAAGAATATACCTTAGGTGAGCGATCAACCTCTGCCAGGCCTTTGGACTTTGGAGGCCCATCTACTATTTAAATGTAAAAATAAGAACTATAAATTCTACCATTTATAATACATTTAATGACTTAAATGCTTTTAACGAGTACTTCACTCAGCTAAAATATGAGTATGCACATTTTTATGACGAATGTATAAAAAATGATCAATAATTTAAATATGGTTATACAGAAGCATTGGAATATAAGAAAAAGCAAAATGTCGAAGATCTCGTAATGAATATGTATGTACAACAGGAAAGGTAAAACTTGAAACGCAATCAGAACACAACAACGTGCACATTTCTAAGGACTAAAGAACTGAAAATTTAAATTGTTTCATAATTAGTCTAGTAAACCTTGAGTTCTTGTTGTGGGCTTGAACTATGCATAACTGAACGTGATATGTTGCCCATCTGAACAACAATTCTTTCCATGGCTGCTTCCGTCTCGACCAAACGTCGTCTCAGTTGATCTATCTCTATGTCTCCTGCCGCTTCTTGTGTTCCAGCATGTATAACATTACCAAACGTGTTCAGAGAATATACACGAGTACTTACAATATTTTTAATTTTAGTCTAATTTTTCTTTCCTTTTTTTTTTGTTTTTTTTTTTTTTTTTTTTTTTTTTTTTTTTTTTTTTTTTTTTTATTTTTTTTTTTATTTTTTTTTTTTTTTTTTTTTTTTTTTTTGTTAAATTTTATGATATAAATACGTGTGTGTTCTAATTGTGCAAACCTTGCATCATGCAACACCATTTAAAAATCTGATTAGATACTCAAAAAAACATGTACCTTATTTTTCAGTATTTCTTTAAAGGAACTAGCTTTCAAGGAAAACACTGCATTAATGATAATGTAAATCAAGTGTTGTGAATGTGTTTTAAATACTTAAAGAACTTACGGTCTTTTAATTCCTCTATGGTAGGAGCAGGCCTTTGTGGTGATGGAGATCTTTCTTTCTGATAATGCATTGTACCACCAGTCATTGCAGTAGCAAAAGCTTCAGGACTAAATACCATTCTTCGAAATTCTTTCTCTGCTGTAGCTCCTGGATATTCTGAAATAATTTCACTATCCGAATTTTTTCTCAGCACCTAATAAAATAATTTGCAATAAGGTATTATAAAATTGAAACAAAGTTATTTAAATATCCAAATTTAGAATGTTTTACCTTTACGATTGTATATAAGAAAAACAATACAATGCCCAAAGTATATAATGGCATAATAATACCCATAGTACTACTTCCTTTTGGTGCAGGAACAACATGCCCTGCACCTCCTAAAGGTGGTCTCATTTTTGGCACAACATGATCAGGTCTCTCTGCAACTTTTGGTACAATATGAGAAGAAGGTATAGTTCTACCACGTTCTCTCAATGCAGGATGTAAACCACCTGCATGTGGAGGTGTACTTCGTTCTTGTTTTATAGTATCTAAAAATACAAATATTATTTTTTAAAGTATTATTTAAAAAACACATATAAAACAAACAAAACTTAAAATGTTATTATAATTGTAGAGTCTATAAAAATAATGTTAGTACACTATCATTTTATATAGTGATAAAATCTGTTATATTTAAAGTTATAACTATAAGCCAAATCTATCTTCTCCATCTACTCATCTCTAGTTATATTTGCTCTTCTGGCAACTTGCCAAATAGAAGAGATAACTCGAATCTGCTTTCCATATATAATTAGTTTAATAATATCAAACGGGCACTCTTTATTGAAAGTATAATTATTAGTTTAGTCAAATAGTAGTATTAAAAGTTCAAATGATGTAACTATGTTAATAGCAAATGAAAGCTGTGCATGCTTATTAATAGGTAATGTTAAAAATTTTGAATAAAACCTTGTATAATTCTTACTGTGAGGCATTAAAATATGATTTCGAATTAAATGTGGAGTTCCTAGTTGAGAAAGAGGTATACGAAAGTGTATTTTAAGACATAGGGAACTATTAAACGATCTGATCTCTTCTAAAACTTGTTTATAAGATTTTCCCAGACGTTCCCTTTCAGCAAGAAATGTAGATAAATCTATACCACATCTGGCTAAAATTTCTTCTCTACACAAATTTGCACTTTGTGGTGTTAATTTTATACTTTTCAAAGCATCCCTTACTCTTGAATCAATTTGATGATGTTTCAGTATATTCTGACATATTTCATACATTATATCAGCAGCAGTGACATCGCTTTCAAAAATTACATCGCAGCATGCTAACAAACATTTAAGAATTTAATTCATCGTCAAGAAAAAAAACAACGTGTCAAAACCATATTTTATACTTTCAAATAATTAGTTAGAAATATAAAATTTTAATGCTACAAGAAAAGAATATTCTCGACTAACTTAATTAATTTTAAAAATTCTATAGAAATAAAATTTAAAATTTAAAGTTTGGACTTAGAAAATTTTAATGCACATGTGTCACGTGTTTCTCTTTATTTTCATTTGAAGAATGAGATATTTTGATAAAATCTTACCAGAATTGTCCGACGTATGATGTGGATTGACAGATGCTGTTAGCATTGGATAAAAAATTTTCGGCCATAATACCGCAAAACACCCGGCTACAATCGCTAGGATAAAAATCGTCTTTCTTGGACCGAAATCCGTTATTTCAGTCATATTCGTAAATTCGTCGTTCGTGTAATTCTCGCAATTTCGATAAAATGTAAAATAACTATGGATCGTTCACTAGCACGTCCAGGGATCGCAAAAGTAGATGGAAGACACAGCACACTGTCGTCTGCTATTTCTGTCATGGAACAGGGCTGTGTCTATTGACTTCTATTCTCAAAATATTTTCTTATTTACGCTTTATAAAATCTATTCGTAGAAAGAAAAAATAAAAAAGTACAAATTCAAAAGTAGAAATCTTTTTGATTTGTTATATTTAATTCAATAAGATAATTCTGCATATATAAAGAGTACTTAATATAAACTGTAGTAAAAAAAATTTGATACGTCTTATATTTATATTTGTAAGCTGACTAATTTTTAATTATAATACTATGTATCTATATACAAATATTTAAACAGAATAACGTAATGTTCTTTTTTCTTATACAGGACCACTATTCTGTTATAAGAATAAGCCAAAAAGCAAGCCAGAAATAGCAAGTTTTGGCAATGACACATAGGCAAAGGGAGACCTTGTCTGATAGATGATAAAAATATGTACAATTTATAGTTCATTGTTTTGTTGGCATTTATTTAAAGGCATTTAGAGAATTAATTACAGAAAACATGAAATAGTAAAATGATTTAGTAATAAGTATGATTTAGTAAATAGTTCTATAGCTGATAATATCCTATACATTGTGCAAGGAATTTATTCTGGACCGCCTCTCTGTAACACAAAAAGACTCATTCATTAGAAATTTTTTCTTTTTCTCATTGCACACTGATTTCAAGAAATATTACGTAAATTCACTTATATTTCAATAATTTATATTCTATGTGAATGACTAGTTGCTTAAATAAATAATAAAGTAACAATATACTTGCATTAATGTATGCAATTTCTTTCTCATCAAGAGGTCGTCTTTGAAATCGTGGAGGAAGATAAATATCTTCTATCGTTGGTAAAACAACTACATTAGGTCCTGTTGCACCAGGACTTTTCTGTGACACAGTCGGCCCTGCTTGCACAGATGGTGTAGCTGTACCTGGATGAGCTAACCAATAACAACGATTTCAGTCGGCTTTTTTTAACTGAAACATTCGATTATATTCAATAACTTTGACTCGATATTATTACCTCTGTTAATTCCACCTTTACGAAATTTAATCATAGGCACATGTGGTTTTACTACCTATTAAGATTTAATTCTTATAAATTGACAAATTTTTATGTTACACGCATATATTAATATAATTTTATACTTTTTTTTCTTAATTATACCAATACACTAACCTTCCAACCTTTACTTGCCATCATAATTGTTCTTAAATGTTTTTCTACTGTCTTAATCGAAGATCAAATTGTTTTTGTAATAGAAACGTTTTTCAATCACTTTAAAGCTTTGAGTAGATGGCGTGTTTTGACATATTTTCGCGAGCACGGAATAATCGTCCGATACCTGTGTGAAACCAATTTGTTTTGCGAAGATAACATTAATGATATCGCCAGGAATGAATAAGCAACTTTTCTACTTAATTTCACCTAAGTATATTTAAGTATATTTAGTTTAGTTCATGTACTTTACACAAGAGAAACATGCAGTACATTAAAATTTACCAAATTTAAATACTAATATAGGTTATTTCATTTAGTATGCGACATTAAGGAAGAAATGGGTATCTGTTTTATCTCCATTTTCGAAATTCGTGAAATTGCGGCGATTATTCACTTTTCTCTAGCTACTTTTTGTCTATATATTGTAATTTTGTTATTGTTATATTTTTTTTGTATTTAGTATGATATGATAGTAAAAATACACACAAACATATATACATATCGTAATAAATTTTATTTTATTATAAGTAATTTATGTATTTGGCATCAAAAAATTTCTTTTTGTATCATACAAAACTGTATGATACAAAAAGTGGAATTAGATAATACCACATAAAACGTGGCTATTTCAACAGTCTTTTAATGATTACAATGTTTTCATTTACACATTGATATCACATTTAGATCTTAATCTTAATCTACTTCTTCCATTCGTGAAGTATCTTCTGTATCTCCTTCCACAGGAGATACTTCTTCAATTGTTTGCTCTTCTGGTGCAGATTCTTCTTCATCAATACCAAGTCCTAGCTTAATCATTCTATAAATTCTTGCCGCATGAACCTGTGGTTCATCCAATGTAAAACCTGATGAAAGAAGAGCTGTTTCAAACAACAGAATTACTAAATCTTTTACTGCTTTATCACTTTTGTCAACTTCTGCTTTTTGACGAAGAGTATCAATAATAGCATGATCAGGATTTATTTCAAGGTGTTTCTTTGCTGCCATGTATCCCATAGTAGACGTATCCCTAAGAGCTTGAGCTTTCATAATCCTCTCCATATTGGCAGTCCAGCCATACTGCGAAGTAACTATGCAGCAAGGAGAATCAACCAGTCTGTTTGACACCACAACTTTTTCTACTTTGTTATCAAGAATGTTTTTCATTATTTTACATAAGTTTTCATATTTTGCTTTGTCCTCTTCTCTCTTCTTCTTCTCTTCTTCATCCTCAGGAAGCTCTAATCCTTCTTTGGTTACGGATACCAACTGTTTTCCATCAAATTCTTTCATTTGTTGTACTACATATTCATCAATTGGTTCTGTCATATAAACTACTTCAAAACCACGTTTTTTGACACGTTCAACAAAAGAACTGTTCGCAACTTGTTCTTTACTCTCTCCAGTAATAAAGTAAATGTGTTTTTGATTCTCTTTCATTCTGCCTACGTAATCTTTAAGAGAGCAAACTTCATCTCCAGAAGATGAAGTGTGATACCTCAAGAGATCTGACAGTTTACCACGATTAGAACTATCCTCATGAATACCTAATTTAATGTTTTTGCTAAATTGTTCATAGAATTTCTTATAATTATCTTTGTCTTCTGTGAGTTCTTCAAACAATTCTATGCATTTCTTAACAAGGTTTTTACGAATAACCTTTAAGATTTTATTTTGTTGAAGCATCTCGCGAGAGATGTTTAAAGGAAGATCTTCGCTATCAACTACTCCTTTCATAAAATTCAAGTATTCTGGAATCAACTGTTCACAGTTGTCCATAATGAAGACTCTTCTTACATACAGTTTAATATTATTTTTTCTCTTCTTATTTTCAAATAAGTCAAATGGCATACGCCTTGGTACAAAAAGTAATGCTCTAAATTCTAATTGACCTTCTACAGAAAAGTGTTTAACAGCCAAATGATCTTCCCAATCATTTGTCAATGATTTGTAAAATTCACCGTACTCTTCTTGTGTTATATCATCAGAATTCCTAGTCCAAATTGGTTTTGTTTTGTTCAGTTCTTCATCTTCTGTATATTTTTCCTTGATGGTCTTCTTTTTCTTTTTCTTCTCTTCTTCTGTTGTCTCTTCAGTTTCATCTACATCCTCAACCTTTGGTTTTCCATCATTTTCTTCCTTTTTTTCTTCTTCTTCAGCTTCATCCTCGCTCAGTTCTTTTTCACGCTCCTTCTGTACTACTAATTTAATTGGATAACCAATGAACTGAGAATGTTTTTTTACAATTTCCTTAATTTTACTCTCTTCTAAGTATTCCGTTTGATCTTCTTTTACATGTAGAACAATCTTTGTTCCTCGTCCCAATGGTTCTCCAGTATCGTGTCTAACAGTAAATGAACCACCAGCACTAGATGCCCACAGATATTGTTCATCATCGTTGTGCTTGGAAACAACAGTAACTTTATCTGCTATTAAATAGGCAGAGTAAAAGCCTACACCAAACTGCCCAATCATGGATATGTCTGCACCAGCTTGAAGTGCTTCCATAAAAGCTTTAGTGCCAGACTTGGCAATTGTACCAAGATTATTTATCAAGTCAGCTTTTGTCATACCAATACCAGTATCAATAATGGTTAAAGTACCATCATTCTTATTTGGAATAATTTTTATAAATAATTCTTTGCCATTATCAAGCTTAGATGGGTCTGTCAAAGACTCGTAACGTATCTTATCAAGAGCATCACTAGAATTTGAAATCAATTCTCTCAGAAAAATTTCCTTATTAGAATAGAAAGTATTAATAATCAGTGACATAAGTTGAGCAATTTCTGCCTGGAAGGCAAAAGTTTCCACGTCTTCTCCTTTTGTTTCCATTTCCATTGACATCTGCAATAAATATTTAAAAAACAATTAAACAATTTCACGAACTTATTTTTTTTTAATTTTTGAAATGCTTTTGTAAAAATACCTCGTGGTATTATTTTTTCTGACGTATTTTACAAAAGCATTTCATAAACATGTGATATGTACCACATGTATAATAAAACACTGTACTTTGAGTGATACATAATCTTTTTTAAGAAATACAAAAATATATTTTCATAAATAAATTAATGATTTGAATTAAAGGAAAAATGTAATAATAGAAATACTATACTTCGTGTAATTTAATCAAAATTTTAAATTTGTAGAAATTTAACAATTAAACAATTTAGTAAGTATATGAATTTTATATAAATTTACTAAATACCTTTTTTTAACCAATCGATTTAAAATTATATCTTGAGATTCAGTCAAATATTAAAACACACAGAGTTAAAACACAGAAATGAACAAACACACTATCGAACACCTGGCAGTTCAATAAATGGACTCGTGCGACGTCTAGGTTTCTCTTTATATACTCGGCAAAATTCTAGAATGTTCTAGAATGTTCTAGAACATTTTATTTATTCTGCCCAGTTCACATCCGGTAGAATTTAAATTTATCCCAATAATCTTTGATCAATAAATTTTTTTCACTTTGCTACTAATATCGTTCGCCTACTAAGAAATAAAAATACATAATTTCCCTTCGATCGAATATCGGATTGCACGCTGCATCTTGCAAAATTGCACATTGGTTCTTTTTTTGCTTAGTGTAGTACTTCCGGAATTTGTTGCGAATTGAAGAATCGAACATTATTTTTGAATAAATCATTCTTATGTCGACGCTTTTTGTTAATTAATCATGATTAAATTGAAGCCTTGGTGCTATCAATCAGTATGCAAAATCGGAATATATATCGTTTACTTGAAATGGAAGTTATCGGTAATTATGTCATCAAATTAAGCTAACTCTCTAACATTATAAAAAGCTATTAATCATATTAAATTATTTAAAGAAGTATTCGCTAAGTGAGTCTTTTTTTCCCAATTAATTCTTTTCGGATTTTACCTTTTTGATTGTGTTTGAAAAAAATCTTTTTAATCGTTTCAAAAAATTCTTGGCGTAATTCTTTATGTGGTTGAGTTTCTAGAAATGACTTGTTCTTTGTCATTTGCATTTATATTGTAGTTTTAAGAGAAATATTTCATGAGTCATCATATGTTCGTTGCAACATTAGAGTACTAAGAAATAGATTACTAATTGATAAATTAGATCATCGACAAAATGATACAATAGTAATACAAGGAGTGAAGTGTAGCATGACTTTCTTATTACATATGTTTCTTTTAAACGTTTTCATCGTTGAATTCCAAGTAATTTCAGTAACGGTACGTCGACGATGGGAAAAGAATTTGTAAAAACCGCCAAATTCGGTCGGTATCGATTCCTACTTACTTTTCTTTGTATTGGAATATGGCGCCCCCTAAGGTTGATACAACTAAATCAATTTTGTATTTAGTCTCCGTTAGAAAGTTATATCTTACCAAGTATTCATCTGGTGTCATAGTTTAATTCGTTTCTCTTAGGTAAGCGTAACTTTGGTTTACAATTTCGAGCTTCTTTTAATTCGTTTAATTACAAGATACGAAAAGAGTTTAATTTATCAGAGTATATCTTCAAATTTGGCAACTGGTGAGAATAACCGTTTGAGCATAACCGTTTTTTTTCTCCTTTTTTTATTCATCTGTAATCGTGTTTATTTTAATACGAACTGATCAATAAGGCAATGTCCAAAGTTTGATAGTCAATATTTCTCGGAAATATTTCACGAAACGTGGCCACGAAATATCGATGTTTGTAAGTTCGGAAATGTTCTTGATAGGTAATCGAGTCACGTGGCAATGACATTTCTAGTAATTACAAATGCCCAACTCGTAGATTTTCATGCAGATGGAATACAGAAATGTTCGAAGCGCGGTTATAGGCACGATCTTTTTTTTCGCTCATCGTAAATTCTTCTATGCATCGTTAATTCTTTCTTTCATTGATATGGTCAATAAATACAATTCAAGTAGGGATTGTTTGGGTTTTGCAGGAAATTTTTCTTTTTTCAAACTTCACATTTATTTACAATAATAGACAAATGGCAAATATTTATTATACAGATTATTCGTGTTTCCGTTAATTCTGACGTTCGCTGATCACCGAGCGGTAACGACGAAAACGAAAAACGATGAAAGAGCGGTGGAAGTTGATATGGCGAGGAGCTTAACTCCGGTAACCTAGCTTTATGATGTCGAATAATACTCATACAGCTAGATAACCAAAGAAAATGTCCGCGCCAAGATCTTCTTGTTGCCTCTCTCGACCATTGAAATACTTGCAGTGGTAGTTCGTCCTGCCAGCCAATCAAACGATCGGTGAATCGAAAACCTGCTCTGCCGGCAGCCAATCCGACAATCGTCGGATCTCGTCTATTCGTAGAGATCGTAAAAATCGGTGAACGCACACACGGATCGATACGTCTAACGTCTGTTGATACAAGAAGAGCGTCGTCTTCCTCCTGCGCGAGAAATCGCTATTCCCCGGTTGCAGATAATGGCATGCACGTGTCGTCCCCGTTGGTGTCCCCACTTCTGTAACAGAAAGATACGGTGAAATCGGAAACACGCTTTAACAACAATCGTCCCTTTGTCGCCTTAGCCACAAATTGATTGATATGCACGGCTTTTGAAAAGTGAAACACAACCACGTTGACATTTCGGAGTGAAAGTCAGCCGATATGAGAGAGAGAGAGAGAGAGAGAGACGCGGGCCTCTCGGGTAGAGAGGATAAGCCAGAGGCAACGAGCGTATATCTGGAAATTTTTCCATTCGTAACTACCAGGCCAAAGTCATTCCTCCTGAAAGCACCGAAACGCAGAGAAAGCGGTATCGGGGGCATACACACGGTGGTAACGTTTTCGATTAAACGTGCGCTGCTCGCACCGAGTCGTTTCGAGTGAAACGTAAATGGTCGAAGAGACGAGACGTTGTACATATCGTTGCGTCATAATTACTTTGGTTCTGAGCCGTGGCATCTTGCGGTATCATCGAGCTTCCTGATTACCATTTCCGACTGACTGTTTCGCGATTTGAACAAAACTTATGCCCGGAGAACGCCAGCGGATATACGGAGATCAATTCCCGATCCCGAGTTACATTACGCGTTAATGTTCAGCTCGAGCTGATTGAATACACGCTACTAATACGACGGTCGAAAGTAATTGTGAACATTCGCGCTCGGGGGGAACTTATCGCGCGGTTTCTACTCGAGAGTCGAGCGATACATATTAGAAAAAAAAGAAATTAAGACAACTCGACAACTCGTTGATTGCATTATCGATTGTTATCCAGAACGCGAGCGAAATATTTTTTTTCCTTTTTTTCTTTTGGAGGACCGCAGCAACGGTTTCTGATTATCCAGCACTGTGCTTTTCGGTCCGGTCAACCCGCCAGTAGACCAGCACAGTGTTTCGTAAGAGCTTCCATTTGGAGAAAGTTATGATCTCACGCTGCAGTGCACGCGTGGCTGGATTCTATTTTATCATCAAGCTGTTCGGTGCCTCCCGCACTTCCTCCCGTCTCTTTATCTGCGCAACTTCTCAATCTCGATATTAAATACGTGCATACGACCGTGAGAGTAGAACGTGCATAAATTTCCCGAGAAACCGACGTCTCGGCACAATGAAAAAAAATCGGACACGTTTTGTCAGTAATTTTATATTTAAATAACACGCTTATCGAATCTGATACGAACGCGGCGAAATACGCCAGTTTCAGCAGCGTTATCGGATTTCGCAACAGATAATTCGTAAGATTACGACACGATTTTTACTACTTTCGATCTTTCGTTAACATCCACAATTCTTGAGAATGTAAAATACTCCTCGAGAAAGAGAGAAAAAAGAAAACAAAGTCCTTAACGTTTTGTTTGAAATCGAATCGAATGGAGAAACGCGCAAGCATTTTATCACGAGAGTGAAAGTATAAAAGATCCGTATTAAAGAGCAAACGATGAAAAAAGAAGAGAGAGAGAGAAAAGGAAAAACCGTGACGCACTCACCTGCGAAACAGCCGATTCATTTCTGATTCGTTCTCGTATCGGGCGTGCATCGATCGAAAAGATTTAGCCCCTCGATGATAATCCCCGACTTTCTAACGTTTAATTTCCTTCATTATTTCGTTTTTGTTTCTATTTAAAAGGTGCTACAACGACAGAGGCGGCTGAGATTTCTAGGCTAGTCCGCTGCTGCTGGAATGACTTATCCGAACCGCCAAGTCCATCGTCACGTACATACCTACGGCAAACACGGGTGAGTATCTATCTCTCACGATAAGCCGGCCTTCGATTCATTTCTATTTGTTTGTCACGATTGTTACAGTACAACCTATGCGCCTACACCTCCTGTGTCTCCTCTCGCGAGAGACGCTAATATCGAGAAACAAGATCCACGGGGCCACGAGAAGAAACGATGGCTTGCTCTCCAAAATCTCTCGTAAAAATCGGCGAACTTGCGGAAAGCTATTTTCGGCGTCAAGTCGAGTGACCAAGGCCGATCAGTTTAACAATCTAATTAACAGTTTACGATTTAATTAACAGTTCGGTGTCCAATCGGGATATTGGACAGGGTCTTTGCACGATACGTCTTTATTGACTTTACGTTTTATCGAGAACTTTTCTGTTGCGCCGGTGAATTCGTTGCGCAACTACGCTACGGGATATCCCGGTGCGTGGCCGGTACGCGTCGACACGCGCATTTTCCAAATCACTAACTTACCCCTCCAGTGGGAAAATCGTGACGGTGCTCGGTGGACAGAAGTTTCGCGAAACCAACGGAGTTGAACGAATGTGTATGTGTACGTACGTTCCCCGCGGTAGTAAATTCGTTTCCTAACGAGGCCGGTTTTCGATCGGCGACTACCAATCGTTTACGCAAACACAGCTGCACGAATACTCGAGACAGCCGGGGCTAATGTCGCTTCACTTATAATCATTATCACTTCGTGGCGTAGTTATCGAGCTTGATTTAATTTCCCTGACGCGGTTGGAACGGGGTCCCTCCCCGAGAAGGCGCGACAAAAAAGAAAAGAGATCCTCGAGGTCCGCGAGAAGAATAGGATTTTCCTCGCTTCGCTTCTTAAAATATCTTTGCCGTCTCCTACTCGCGATTGACACACCTCCGTGGAAACTAGTTTCCTTTATTTGCATTCTCGTGCGTTTTCGGTCCAACGAAAAATAAAAATGGTCGCTCGAGAAACGAAATTAAGCATTCGAGTTCGAAGAAGATTAAATTGAAAGATCTTAATGGAAATTCCGTTGGATCAGAGTTTCCAAATATCAAAGAAACAGACAACCGAATTGCAGCCGAGAGTGCCGAAGGAATTTTCCTTCTTTTCATTTAAATATTTATACGATGTAACTAATGGGAGGGAACGTTGCGGTTGAAAGATACCTGTCCTGCTATTTACCTAACAAAACGGTTTAACTTACGCAAATTAATTTACGATCGCCGAGTGCGTAGTCGTTTGATTTTATCTCGGGTAACGTAACGTACAATTGGCAGAGTTGCCAGGCAAAGAGGAATTCAGAAGTCCCGAGCCGAAAAGCTCCGAGGAGCTGTTTCATTTCACAAGGAACCGGTTTTTATTCGACGGCCAGCTCGGACCCGGTTTTAATCGGTGTCACTGGCAACGCGAATCGAAGGATTCACGGCTCGGTTCCACGTACACGCGGCGCGGTCGAACGCAGGTATGCATATGTGCGTTTTATTTCTCGGTCGCTCGCTCTACCGTGCAAATCTCGAATGCATTCGCCGGCACGTTGAAGATTGTTCGCGATACAGGCTTCCGCAGTGCCATAACGCTATACCGCGTCGCCGTGCGCCCGCGCCAGCGCCGATCCTCGTCGTGGCTGTGACGCAGAAATTTTTTTTACTTCTTGGCGGGCAGAAAAAAGAAAATGATTCAAACAGGTTGCATGGAAGACGTATGGAATCACGTTCGATTGAAATTTTTTCTTTTTCTTTTTCTTTTTCGAAGAGGAGAACGATCGTCGAAACTGAACTGTATTGAACGTCGTGGAAAAGTTGTGCTCGACACTGCGGTCGATACGCATAATTAATTAGACGTCACGGTTATGATCATATGTTCTCGCGCTAATACCGGTTTGAAGGTGAGAACAGCATCGAATTAGAATTGCGCGGACAAGAGCTGTGTTTCGCTGGCTCGCGGCGAACTTTGGAAAACGCCGGTTCAAAGTTTCGGTCGAGTTTTTGCGAATCGATTTTCAGGTATTCTCGCTCGCGAAGAAATGTGTGGAAAGGAAAGACGATGGCGAGAGGAGGGTTTCGTGTAAAATTTTGGAGCGCACACATGGGAGAAGAAGAGGAACAAAAGCGTTCGAACGACGGCTATTTTTCCACGGTAGGCAGATACAACCTGTTGCTAAGAGGGCCGAGGAAATTCGCACGCGAAACGGTGCGAATCGGCAACGAGCGGTGTCGGCTCGGAGTGGCTCGAGGAATCGAGCAAGAACAAACGCTGCACCCTTGGAACTTTTAAGTTTTGAGCCTTCTAATGAAACCCGCGAAACACGATGAAAAAAATATGAGAGAAGATAGAGGGAACAGTTCGGACACCGCACGAGGAGAGAATGACCACGTTAGGGAAAAAACGGGCAGCCGAGAATTTAATCAACATGCGAACGCGGCAATGTTCGTGTCGACCTTGTTAGTCAAGTTTACCCATAGTCAAACGAATGAGCTTTAATTTGAAACTTCTCGCACTAATCTCTTCTGCTTTCAGGCTAGAGAGACTATTGCCTACATGGAATTGAATTTCACTGAAATGAATTTGCTCTACGACTGGAAATCTGATTGAAAATCGAGCTCGGAACTCGGTGGGGGAGGTGCAAGTTTTAAAAATTAAAATGGAATGGAATCTCGACGACGTGGCTATTTCATTTTGTACGAAAAGAAGAGGAGAGAGCGTACCTGTTGCTCGGTATCGAGGACACGGTGCCGAGTCGATACGTGAATTTTAAGTCCGGCTACAACTTGCTCCGTCTTACCAAGGGCACATAGACTCGAATCGAAAGAAGAGGAAAGAAAGGAGTCACACCTGGCGCGGTACGAGATGAGATCACTACCGCACTCACTGATCAACTGGCCCCGCGCCCCACGTCCGGGGCCGCACGCACCTTTCGCGTTACTCCTTCCCCCTCATACTCCAGAACCTAGAGCTTGCTGCCCCCCTTGGGGCCTCTTCGGCCCCTTCAGTCCCCTTCCACGTCCTCTTTACCTCTTCAGCTTCGCTTCGAGCGCTCATTGGTCCGTTCAAATCGACGTCATGACGTCACCGAACCGAACTGCCGGTGTACATACGAGATTCTCTCTCGATCGAGTCTTTTTCTTCTCTCTCTTTCTCTCTCTCTCTCTCTCTCTCTCTCTCTCTCTCTCTCTTCCCCCCTCGTTTCTCCTCGTTCGCTTTCTACCCCGCTCCGTTTCGCTCCTTACCGCTCCTTCTCTACGTGGGATCTTCTCTTTTCTCTCGTCTCTTCTTTTCCCCTGTGTACGTGTGTGCGTGTGCGTGTGTGTGCTCTTCGTTCGGTCTCGTCTTTCCTCGAGTCGACTACCTGTCCTCCTACCTATATACATCCGTCTTCTATCGTTCTCTCTTCTCCCTCTCCGGTCTCTTCTCCTCGTTTGGCCGACTCTCTCTCGAAGAGCATTACCGCGGCATCCCTGTCCTTCTACCTGGTTGATTCGTTCTTTATCGTACTGCCTCGTCTGCTTTTCCTCGCGCCGTCATCTCCTCGTTCTCCTCTCCGTTCCCTTCGTTGCCGAATACTTTTCTCCATGGTTCGCCGGAGAGTTGCCGATCCTTCCACACGGCTCGTCCTCCTCCCCGTGTATTTCCCCCCCGCCTCTCTTGTTTCTTTCGTTTTACAGGTATCCGTTGACCCGCGCGCTTCTTTTTCAACTTTTTGTCCTCGAAGAGATCCCCGGCGGCTGATTCTCCGTTACCGAGGGCCACGTTTTCGTTTCGAGAGAGCGGCCACATCTCGCTCGTCATTTCGTTTTTCTCACTTTCTTCACCGCGTCAGCGCGAAGGCTCAAATTTCCATTTCCACTGTCCGAGGCTCGAGGCTCTCCTCACCGCCGGCCTATGGCTTGGCCGCTGTGGTCGCTTTAGACGTGGTGTGCGTCGACGACTCTCGGAGCCGAAGCATTCGAAGGCGGCGCGGATCCATTAAGGCGAATCGGAGTTCCTTTCCTCCGCGGCTGTACCGGTCGCCGGCCGACGAGATTGTCCGCAAGACGGTTCACTATCCAGTGGTTACCGCCACTGCCACCGCCACCGCCAACGTCGTCGCCACAACGGAGCGAGAGTAGCCCGCCAGGTATATACGGAGACAGAAAAAGGGAAAAAAGGACGCATTCCAACGGCTATAGTCGGTCCATAACGATTCCTATACGTTGAGAGTGCACAACGGACAACCAATGACCCCTCTACCGATCTCTCGCGCCTCCTCCTTTTCCCTCCTTCCCACCCTTCTTCTTCTTCTCTACCCTTTCACATCTTCTCCTTCTCCTCCTGTTCTCTCTTCTCCGTTTTGCACGATTCCACGTGTCTCGTCTCGTCTCGTCTCGTCTCGTCTTGTTTCGTTTCGTCTGGTCTCGTCTGGTCTCGTCTCGTCTGGTCTCGTCTCGTCTTGTCTCGTCTCGTCCTCCTTTTTCTTTCCTCTGTCTTCTTTTTCCATCTCTTTTCCTCGCCTTGTCTCTTTTCTTCTCTACTCTCTCACCGGTCGTTTCGCCCGCGTATCTGTCTACGTACGTTTACCTGTACACGTACGTGTACGCCGCGATCGAGGTGAAGGCTCGACCTCGTACGTACCTCTCCTACGTAGAGTCGGCCTGTCCTCTCGTTTTTCGAAGAAAATTCACCACGTCACCACAATGATCGCCGGCCGGCCAGTCGAATATTTCTCGAATGCCCGAACCGCCTCTGTTCTCGAATATCCTCGCTCTTCCCCGGCTCTTCTCCGGCGTTGAACTCGTCGTCTTCGCCAACGAAATCGATCCAATCTTCGCTACCTTGACATCGACTGCGTGTCCTAAACCCGATCGCGCCCGAACTGTAATTAAAACAAGTCAGTCGTGGTTCTCTTCGTTTCATTCGATCTTCTCGTCGGTCCTTATCTCGTCGAATCTATTAGCAATGGAACACGAGAATTCGCGGGGAAGATTCAGTGGTATACATCGCGTGGGAATTCCGTGCCTGCCTCGATGATAGACCGCTTCTTCTCGATTTTTTATCGTTCGTTCGACATTCGTCACGACATTCTCGAGTAATTTATATCCTTCGCTGAGAATCTCGAGAGATCCAACAATGGTTTTTTGATGTCCGTTACTTCAATCCAGATACGTTGCTCTTATCACAGAAGAATCGCGACTCGCAACGTCTGTTTGTCGCCATCCGCGTGCCTCACTTGCTAATTGGCGGTACGTGACGCCGAATGTAAAATATATTTTCAGCCTCGAGTTTAAATTGTACGTTAAGCGAGACGTGCCACGAAAATGACGGCTATTTCGGCCACCGCTCGTTGTTTCAAGGTAATCGGTCCTTCTTTTTTTATTTCTTTATTTCTTTCTTTCTTTCTTTCCGTACACTCGACTGTTTAGTCGAATGGCGTGGGGCGAGTAAAGGCCCACTGAAAGTAACCCATAAAAATAATTAGTTCGGCGGGAAAGATTTCTTTTCCGTCTTTACCTCCTTTTACGTGCAAACGCATTTATGCACCCTAAAAGATACGCCTCCTTGAACGGCGTAGAATCGGTTCCGCTGTCTGAAACTAACGTCCTGGGAAGTTCCGCGGCCACACGTGTCATCCATTTTCAGTTTGTGGGAAAGGCAGCGCCGTGACGGAAGGCATGTGCACGAGCGGGTGATGTACAATCGCAATTTCAATGTTGTTAAAGGTCACGACGGGAGACCGATCGACCAACCAGGCCCGGTGCCTCTCGCGAATGATTTTCGAAAATGAATTCGGCTCGGTCTCTCTCTCTCTCTCTCTCTCTCGAAAACGTCTGCCTCTTCAATTTGCTCGAATTTTCCTTTCTGATTTCCCGATTCGACGGAAATTCTCGAAGTTAAATTCTGTTCGTTGTTAAAACAGCGGTGAACAAAGAACCGACGAACTTTCGGGCCCCAACTTATTCTTGGAATGTTATTGCAACGTTAAGCCGTACGTGACGCTTACGTGAATGAAATTTTGCATGCGTATCGGTTTGCCTGCGAGTGCCAGGACCTCGAAGGTCGAACTCGATATCGGCATCTCGACTGTAGCGCCGAAAATCTACTCTTCACGTTCTTCGTCAATCATATTTATTCGATCGTATCGATGATCATATCGATCGTATCACCTATTTCCTTCAATGCCACAAAAAAGATTATTAAAATTAAATTAAATAATTATCCGCGTTCAGAACGCTATTGTAAATCACAAGCCTGGCAAGAACGAAACAAGCTTCATTGTAATTTGTTCGGACGAAAAATCTGTTTATTAAAATTTCCCGACAAAGAATTTCCTGGCTTAGTCGACCACCTGGTCAAGGTCGATTTTTATTGTTCGTTTCGAAAAAGGATCTTTCGGTAGGATCGGTACTGTTATATCCCTCTGTCCTGGTAACTCACCTGCATCTGCCCAGATACAAAGCTAATTCAGCCCTGCGTACAAGCGTTGGCGTCACGAGCTGACGCCCTTCGACTTCCGCCGGATGTACGCCGTCCTTGCTTCGCCGTTCCTCCCGTTTTCCTTGCGCACACCTGATTTTTTACTGTCTCAAATCAGCCACTTGTTTCACTCCGTCTCGCGACGCGACAAACCAATCTCGATTTCAGAAAATTGTCCGAGAAGAATCACATTTCCTCCGCACAATTATATTCGTCGAATTACAACGAACTCGGAATACATAAACTGTGAAGAAAATAGGTAAACAAAATTTTAGTTCCGTTCGAACGAACGTAGATTCGAAATTTCGCCATGAAATCTTCCGATTTTTATTCGAAACACATCTTGAGACTTTCATTGTGCGTTACAACGATACTACCGATTGAAAATACCTGACTGAAAGAAAATTCGAAATACACCATACTCCATAAACGAGAGGTGACTAAAAAAGCTTCGAAAAAGAACCATCTCGTGTATTTGTACAACCTTTTTTTCATCCTCGACAGACGATAGAGACTAGCCACAGAGAATGCTTATTCGCACATTTCGAGAATGAAAGAGACTCATTGCGATTACACGGAAGAGTTGTAGAAGATTTACATGATGGACACGCGTAACTATCGACGAAAGCAATCTGAATAGACGCAGAGCCGTTAATCGATCAGACCTACAGGAAGTTGCGATAGATAGATATATAGATAGAGGAAAACGGTTTTTACACGGTGAAATTATTTTACTAGTTTGCTCTCGTTTTCTTCGTCTATTTCCGCAGTGAACGACACAAAGGGAGAAGAATCTAGAAACGTCGAGATCGTGCAGAGGGATAAAAGCGTTTTTCCCTGATTGGACTCGAGAGGAGATTTCGTTCGGCGGAAGCCGCCGGTAAAGCTCGAACCGTTGGCACCGAAGAACGGCCGTTACCGAGAGAAGACTATAGAAATCGGTTCGCACCTGCCTGACCCGGTAAAAAGAAAAACCTACCTCCAGAACCCCCGTGAGCCCCGAGGTCCAAAGTAAGTTTATGGATGTCTCGCCCCTTATTCGTGACGGCCCCGGCACAGGTTTCGAGTTTAGAGAGGTTCCCGACGCTCCCGTATTTTCTTATAGTCGGGCCGCCCATTGTCGCGCGTCCTTCTTTTCTCTCCGTGCCGATTCCTCCCGCAAATATTTCGCGTTTCCCTTGCGCATTTCTCTCGATTTTTCCACTTAGCCAACTGTATAAAACTCCGCGTTTTATGGATAAAAGTCGATCTCGAAGGAACGAATTTTTACTTTATACGCGATTTTCGTATTTTTCGCGAACGCAAATAAAGAGACTGAGCTTAAACGGAAATCTATCTCTGCAAATTGTCCATAAACGCATAAGAAAAACCTTTAATACAAATTGGACAGTTGTAAATTACAGCATAAGTTACTAAAAAATATTAAAAGACTGACGAAGTTTGAACTAATCCGGAGGCACAATATTGTACAACGTTTCCTAGATAGGAGCGTACAGTTTAAGCGGAAATAACATCTGAGAACAATCGACGAGGTGAGGATTTAAAAAATAAATAGAACGCAGGGAATATTCGCACTCTCTGCTCGATACTTCCTCCAAATTGTACCCGACCCAGTCTTTTACCTTTGTAAGATCGTTTCTCCGCGTCTCAGGTAAAAGTTCGAGAGAGCCCTTCTATTTTCACGATCTCTTCCCCACCGAGTTGTCGTTTCCTGTTTCATACGTGGCGCGCTTGAAAACTTATCTTCGAATACGGCCGATCGATCTGTTAAACCTGTCTCGAAAAAAGATCTCGCGCGGCGGGATGGAAGGGGGATACACACAGCTTCGACGTCGAGCGAGCACGTCGATAGTTTTACAAGAGAATCTGGCCTAACGTTTTCTAAGCGATACCGTTCCACATTTCCATACGATTAGGAATCTGAAAGGCTAATCCCGCAGGTTAACAGCTTCATTCCGCTCAAAGTCGACCATCCTCGAAACAACGTGCGGTCGATCCAATTCGGAGCGTGTCTTTTCTTTGATTTCTCGCCAGACGACAGATTTTTCTGCGTTGCTCTCTTCGCTGCTCGTCGACGTTGCCGAGAAATCGACATTGCGGTTGCGAGTCCGCGAGTGTTGAAGTCTCCGAACGACCAGATACGTAAGGAATGTGTCTCGCACGTCGCTGCGACGGTCGCTCTTGTACAATTTCTCTTTCCGACGTTCTCTCGGCCCCAACTTCCAGATCGTTCGATCGTGCCTCTGAGGAAAGGATGAATGGCAAACGCGTAGGAAGCGTTCAGCGCCAGGAAGGAGAAGGAAAGTTATTTTCGGTTGATTCTGGCGGCAAAGTCAGCGTGTGCCGAACGGAAGCCCCCGGGGATGTTTCAAAGAAAAATCAAGCTCGTTCGCTCGTAGGGAGAGTTCTCCAAAGAGTTTCTCCCGTGAGTGAGCGAGTCTTCTGCCTCAAGAGAGAATGACTCGAGGCAGAACACCGATGATGTCATCGGTCGGCGGATACTCGCGCGCCTACGCTTTTCTCTCCTACCTCAGTACCAGTTTCACCGGCGGGGATACCGCGTGTGCTCGTTCTCGGAGCCTTACTCTTACACACGAATATCCTCTGCCTCTTTATTGCCCCTTTTCGCTTCTCTTCTCTTCTCTTCTCTTCGCTTTGCTCGTTTCTCTTCTTTCCACCGCCTCGAGGCCTCTCTACACTTCGTATTGTACGAGGACGAGGCGAGCGATATAACGTGCCGAGGACATGCTCGATTCTACCTTCATGCCAGTCTACATTGCCGGTATATACCGGTTATGCAGATGGAGCTCGGTCTGGACCCCTTCGGCAAACCTTCCAACAGAAAATCTCGTCTTCTTCTTCTTCTTCTCCTTCTTCTCCTTTTCTCTTCTTCCTCCTCCTCTTCATCATCATCATCGTCATTATCGTCATCGTTATCGTCATAGTCATCCTCATCCTCTGTCCCCAAGTCTAGTCCTTCTTTTCCTCGTTGTTCCCAGTTGTTCGCTTCCTTCCTCTCGTTTTTTCTCCTTTCTCCTTGTTTGCCGCTCGCACGTGAGCCGTTGTCGTGGTCCTCCCGTCTCTATCACACAGCGAAGAAGCTGCTTCGCCTTCCTTACGCGCGATCATCCGAATATATATATATATGTACATATATACCTACGCTCGACTTCTCTCCCTCGTTCTCTCGGCTTTTCTGCTCTTGCCCTTCGCGCTGCAGCCTCCTTCTTTCGCGGCCGTTAAAACGGTTAAGGCACTATGCCACGGACGAAGAAGATTGCACAGCTTTCTCGAAGCTATTTGCAGACGGATTTTTTCCCCTCGAACAGGTATTCCGGCCTGATAGCCGGCAAAGCGCGTTTGAAAATAAAGAACAACCGTGCGTCGATCGATCGATCCACGGTTGAACACGATTTAAGCAATCGCGCGGTTATTAGCTGACCGGTACAGTTTCCTTCGTCCAATGTTTCTCACGCTTTTCTCTCAACGCGCAGGAGGATTTCAATGAATTTTTCCGTTCGAACGCGACCAAAACGGATAACGAGCCGGACGGACGATGCTATTTCGTTGGCACCGTATTCAGAGGCGACAAATCCTTTTTCGGGAGTACAATAGTTCCGTTGATCGCGGGGGCAAGTCAACTTCGCGGTTGAAAGAACCGCGATTAAATCGCCGCCATCCACCGTCACCCGTGCGCCTGTTTGCCAGTGCCTCGTTAAATCGACACGACTGTCCCATTCTTCTTAGCGGACCCGCCGCTTTTCAAATATTCTCTCCCGAAAAGAAATCCGCAATCGAACAGAGCAATTAAAAGAAGAAAAAGGAAAGAAACACTGCTCGGCGTTTCTTGCTTCGTTCCTTTGGCGATTGGACTCTGGAAAATTTTTGTCGCGTGAGTGTGTGACATTTATATTCACGGTAGCGTTTCGTTTCGAAGAAACAGAAAGTTCCGTGTCGATCGATCGACGCGAGTGAAACGCACGGTCGCTGCGTACAAAACCTCTCCTCGAAACGAAACACTTCCAGGTTCGGGTATCGATCATTGTCTCCTCTAACGGACGTGGAACTTTGGTTCTGTGACGGCGTCACCGCGACCGCGATTGTTCGCCGCAATCTCCTTAGGTAGCCGCGGATTATTCATTGGAAAAATCAGGCAACCAGCGACAATGTTAACCAGTCCTCCTCCGTTTCGTAATATCCCGTAAGCGAACGACCATAGAGCGCTTGCGTACTTGCGGGATGACAAGATCTACGAGAACGTTCAGGCCGCGGGAGTAATTCGACTTTTCTTGCCGGCGTGATTTGCAAATAAATTACGAGAGGATGTCGTACTTGAATGTTGATCGTTGATACGAGAAGATTGACAGTCGGTCGGAAACGCGACGAACGAGGAAACAAGGCGCGCGAGAAAGAAATGACTATGAAATGAATATTAATAAAAGAAAAAAATGACCGGCGTCTCACGCGCACGAGTGTTTCCAATTTATTTGTTGATACCAAAAACGTGAGTTATTGTGCAAATAATTGCCGTGGCTGTCTACGCTTGTCACGGAGGTAAGACGTGCTACTCGGGACGATTGCGACTTGGCAAACAGGAGAGGAGAGAAAGAGAAAGAAAGACGGTGGTCCTTTCCACCGAAATTCGAAGGAAACGTTGAACAGAGCGAGACGTAGTTTCACACCGCGTTTATTAACAAATCTCTTGCTTCGTTACATTACTTTATACATTTATTTCACTTCCCTCCGTGTCTCCTTCTGAATTTCGCTCGTGTTTGTCGATCATCTTTGAGCCTCGAGTAGAGAAGCGTTTATTTGCCAAATAAACGTGGAAATCACATGATATTCCACGAACGATGCTCGAAGGCTTTCGAATGCGCGAAACGTTCGTGGAATAAATTTAGGTGGTACTTGAGCGGAAAGCTAATCCACCAGGCCACGACCAGTTGCGAAACTTCTTTGAGTAACGTCGCGAAATTTTACACGGAGCGACCTGTACCGGTTCGCCGGTTTTCGATCTTCGGATGCAAACGCAACGCGGCGAATCGAGACGCGACTCCTCATAGAGGAGATATTGCAAGGACAGAGACCTGGGGATCACTGGAAAAATATATAATTGCGTGTAAGTAGCTTGCGCAAACGTTTCTACGGACAATCGAGCGCGCGAACGATTCCTGGCGAACGTTTCTCGAGAACGGCGAATCGTTAATGCGACACGGTGGCATTACATGCGGCGAGATTGCGAACCGCATCAGCTACACGCATCTTCTTAGGGCAGCTCGTCGTATCGTCGACGGATAGCCTCGTAGTTTCCGAGCATTTCCATCAGCCTGCTGTCCGTACAGGGAAATAATCGCAGGCGGTAGAGTTGCAAATACCTCGGTACGATTGCGACAGATCAAGATAGACCTATATGCGATAATATACGCGGTTTCTATCTGTCTAATCGTACGTTTCGAACGCACGAATCGTGCTAGTTTCGCAGCGTATAAAGGATAATACCGATATATATATCGATATTGTTGGATGCATCGGGAAAGTGGACGTGGAATATTAGGGGAGCAGCGCAGGTACTTGAAAGCGGGAACGTCGAAAAAACGGCGCTCGCCTCGATTACAAATCTCACGGCGAAGATGTCCGAAGATAGCGAAAGAATATTCGAGGCACCCCAATGGGGCCCATTAGGATCCAAAGGTAGTTGGGCCAGTCCTCCTATATCTGACTGTCCTTCTTTCTCTCTTATTCTCTCGATGAATCCATGGTAGAGGAGGCGGGGGATGGTTGGCCGGTCAAGCCACATTCCGTTGGCCAACCGGCTCCTTGGAACCCTTCCTCCCCCTCTTTGGTAGACGGTTCTCTATATACAAGCTCTCGCCTTCTTATGCACCACTACGATATGTGCCCACAAGACCACCAATATTATTTCGACTAGACAGCGGCCGGCTCGACGCAACCTTGTCAGAGAGCAATGCATAGGTATCTGCTTTCACGGAGTGAAACGTTACTGGGAAGAAAACCTCAAAGGTCGAGTTTAACACGCGTACTGCGTGCCTGCTCGCCACGCTGCTCTTCAATTTGTAATTTTCGACAAAAAAAAAAAAAAAAAAAAAGAAAAAATAGAAGACAACACGACGGCGTCATTTCACGATCCTCTTCATCCTTTTCTCGTCCTTTAAGGCTCTACGTCAATTTCATTCGATTCGATCCGTTCGCGATCACCCGTTCGTTCTTCTTGGCCTATTCTTCTGTACTTACTATCTCTCTCAGTCTAATTATTCTCGAGTAACGTTCGGACTTTTGCTATATACTCAGGATTAAGTATCAATTCCACGAATAATTCCTAGTCGATAGAAAAATGGATAAAAGGTCGAATTCTCGTTGGTTCGTCAAACCTCTCATTGGTAAATGATAATTTTTCTTCTTTTTTCTTATTTTGCTCGCTCGAATCGTTTGAAATTCGGTCGCCGATTAAAAATAAAAAAATCGAATCCAGCATACATGTACGAGACTATATTATATGTACGACATTCGAGATGAACGAGAATCGGATCCCGGAACACCATGAAAGTATAGATATTTCGAGCAAACGATGTCGCCATACGATCGTGGGGTCGAGGTCCCAAGGAACGTTCGAGAGATCTCCCGCGAGAGAATTCGCCCACGTAGGGTGCCGTAAAAGTTTGCTTCGAATCTGCCCTCCACCAACCGCCTTCGCCGCTATCATCCTCCCAACCTCTTCCCCTCTTCCTCCATCGCTTCTCTCAACTTCTCTTTCGTCTTCTTCGGTTTCTCTCCTTCTTACCATTTGTCCACTCTCTCGCCACCACCCGCGATCTCTGCCTTCTCTCTCGTTCCTCTTTCCCCTTCGGCTCTTTTTCCTCTCATTTTTACCTCGATCTCTTCCTCTTCGTGGTTGCTTCTCGAACCAATCCGCCAGGCCACGATCTCGCCGGGACGAGACACGGGACGCATCGCGTCGCGTCGCACAGCGTCGCGCAACATCGACACAACAGGCTCGAGAATATACCTACGTGTACAGATAGCTTGGTATGGAAGGTGGTTGGCTGAGATGTTTAAGGGGAAGACTCTCCCAAGAGCCGGTGATCCTCTGATTGCGAGAGAGAGAGAGAAAGAAAGAGAGCGCACACAAGGAACGAGGAACGAGTCAAAGAGGTGAGGAAGGGGACTCACGCGCAGAGGGTGTCGACGGTGGACCCAGGAGGCAAGGGGGCCTTCTCGGACCTCGAGGGCCTGTGGACGAGCCAGCAGAAGAAGAACGGTAGGGATGCGAGCGGGGAAGAGAGAAGGATGAGAAGTGACCGGATGGCCTTGGTCCCAAGACTTGGTTAGTTACCGCGCGGCCAACTATAACTGGTCGAGAGCTTCGTAACACACAGGGCGGTATCTCCGACTTCAACCGCTTTTTAAGACGACCACGGGCCACGATACCGCGCCACGCTACAGATACAAATAGCTAGACCCCTGAAATATCAACGACGATACCGTGCTGCGTGATCATTTTCACGCGACGATCGCGCGCAACGTTATTTCATTTTCTCCAATGATTTTCTTCATGGCGACACGCGAAGATCGCAGCTTTTCTTCTTTCTCTCTTCTCTAGGTCCTTCAGCGAAACGTCCCGACTAGCATCATCCCACCTGCCTCGTGCTTGCGGTACTTTCCCGCAATTCCCGGCGATTTGCTCAAAATAGAAACATTACGCTTATCGCTGTCCCGATAACGCTATCAAACGGCGGCAAAGTTTCGACAATGTTTTTTTGAAATTTCGCTCGTAGCGAAACGTTCAAAGCAAATCAGATTACACTGCGTGCACTTTTTCTTCTTTTTCTTTTCGTTGCTTCTGTTTTTTACATACGTGAAATTGATTTATATATCATTGTAGAAGATACGTTATTAGAGACTCGACTCGCAGAGTTACAGGAGATTCCTGCCTGAAGTGAAAATGAATGGCCTGGTTATTTAGCTAGCATTGCTCGTTATTGCTCAACAGGAGCAACTTACGGGGCTGTATAAGAAAGTGTATCCGTGACTCGCAAGAGACTATATGGTAGCGCTTCACTAAGCGCGTACAGATTCGTGGGACTAATAATTATCTTTCGTGAGTTTGCAAAACTTACAGTTCGTAGTATTTGCAACGCATAAAATATCAGAAATATAAGCGCTAAATGTTTCGATATCTGAGATTTACCAAGACAAAGAGCTTTTTTATGTTAACTGGCAGTAAAAGTTTTATTGACTTTCAGTAACGATGAGATTTAAATTCTTATGTGAAAAGTTGCCATGAAATCTGAGGCCCTCGTTACAACATGCTCGAACTCTAGATACGATAAAACACCGTCGCCGTCGATGTCGCTTTCCTCCAAAACTTTTCGACACACAGTGGCCACTTCGTCGGCATTCAGATCATCTTGAACCAGCTGTCGACAGGTGCGTTCTAAATCATTCAATCCCAGTACTCCATCTTCGTCAAAATCTATGTAGAAAAAAATTACAAGGCGTTATTACAATTCGTACAATCGTACAGCGTAAATTTGCATTTAGTTTATGTACGCTAGAAAATCGATAGTACTCTTGTGCAAATGATTCTCTCGTGCAACGCGAATGTCGTGTCTAAACGACATATATACTTCTGATTCAATAGCGTAGTTATAGATACATCCGGCATGACCTCGAATATTTCTCACGAACCGTTCGATTGTTTGATTCACATGGTGGTTCGTAATTTTACCGTAAATTTTAAAAGCGTAAAACACTTTCAAATCTCTGGGTGCTTGTTCTGAGAAAACGGACATCATTTCGAGAAATTCTTCGAAGCAAATTCCTTCGTCTGAAGCAACGGGCGTTGACAATCCCGAACTCTGGCATTTTGCGAACACCTCTGAAATTCGTTGTCTGAACGGATTTTCCTGAAACATTATTCAATGCACATCGTTACAAAAATTTCGCACTCACGTATGAGAGGAGGCTTTGAACATTGAACGAGAGCAAAAGAAGAACCTTTAATTCTGGTATGCGTGTTAAACAAGATAGTGGTATACGAAGAGTCGATGCCTGTTGAGGCGTCATGGATCGTGGAACTGTCCCAGGATCTCCCATGTCCCGAAATCGTTTAAATATTCTAAAAAGATGAAGACATGTAAAACAAAGATCGATAACTGTGCATATAAAACGTTCGTGGAGTACCTTAAAATTTCCTTTCGAGTAAAAAACGTGCAATCTTGATAATCTTCTAGTTGTTCTTCGGTAAATGTAGCTATTTTGTTCCCCATTTTATTCAATAATGATAAATATTCGACACAAGGATAACTGTTAGTTTACTTATTATAGCGGTGTTTCATTCACTACTCAAAGCTTACAACTGAGTTTTCGCCAACACTTCCAATGTTCAATACGAAATCTAATAATCAGGGTGTGCCTTGCCGCTCCCTCTTTTAGGAACGTTTCAGACAGTAATTTACAGGGGAAGAAGAACGAGTTATCCATACGTTTACCTTAGCAAATGCTACTAACTTTTTGTTCACGAGATGTTTGGTTGAATAATCAACATTATGTAATGGAAATAATAGGGAGTTAAAGTGACAAATCTTTTATAAATGAAAAATTGTATTATGATAAAGGAATATGAAATTAATTGTCGATAAAATTAATAGTTAAATGTAATGATCTTCGTAATTTTCTTTGCAATCGAGTAAATAATTGAGGCATTCATTGAATTCGTCCTCTTCCAAACCAGAATCTGTAAATGCATGGAACTTCTTTATGCTTCTTATTCTGCTCAATTGACTATGTAAAGATTCATACATTGCACTAAGATTGTTTCCACTGTGTAAACCGGCCATAACAGGAACAGATTGAACATCTAAAAATAAAAATTGATAAAAACATGATACAAGCTGTATATTTATAATAATGTTCTTACCTGTTCCTACTGGCCAACCAATAACGTCTCCGGTTTCAGTAATGTTGTTATTGAATATCTTTGGATATGGAGATTTTATGTAGAGCGGTGACGAAATATTTGACAAATAAGTTGCAGATGCATGACAAGTACATGCTAAATAAAGCATCATCATTTCATGTACAGTAGAGCATCTATATGCTGGTTTTGACATTTGTTTCATTGCATGAGAAATAGGCCGTTTTAATCTTTCTTCGGAAATTCCTCGTAATACTATACTTTGCATATTTTTGTCCATTGATATAGCACAATTTGGTGTCAAACTTGTCCACAATGGCCCTTCGAAATCGTCAAGCATGTCGATCAAATCTGCTTTAGCGGTTATAGGGAACGGTAAAGTCAAGCTCGTTGCAGTTGCTTTTCGACCCAGTTTATTGAGATCGGCACATAAATCAGATAAAACTACATTTGAATATTCTTTTCGCCTGTATCTAATAGTCAGTGTATCCAAAGCGGTAGCTAAAAGTGCACTACTGTGATACTTTAATTCAGAATTGTATGTCAAATGATTAAATACACGCGAATCTCCAATTTGTGGCCAAGCTGTTTCCCCACAACAAAGTGGACTAAATAATGATGTATATTCTTCTACATGTTGCCAGCACAAAGCTGTATTGAGTATTTTAATCATATTAGATGCAGAATGTTCAGTCCTCTTACTGTCTATACATGGAAATGATATAATACTTTTTCCGTATTCATCTTTTAAATGTTGCATACATGATGCTCCAATTCCAGCGAAACAATCCACAGAATCTAGAATTATCTATATTTCAAAATATTATCAATATTGCAGATTAATACAAAAACTATGTATATAAATATAAACGACCACATGCCTGAAAACCTTGCATTAAGTCACATTCTTCGACATAAGCTCTTATTCTTTCAGAAAAGTCATCCGAAAATTGTTCTGTATTCCATAAATTCCTTCCGTAAGTAAAAATACCAAATGGATACATTGCGCCATCATGTTTATGATGTTTGATGACATTCAATGTCCTAGGGTGAAATCTAGGTAACAAACAATCTACCCATGAATTAATATTATTTTCCAAACTAAGCGACGATGATGTTGGATTCTGAGATTCAAAAGATTCATCTAAGCTTTTAATAAAAGGCGATTTATTAACTGTTTCTTCTTTCAAGACCTCCACTTTTGTATCATCCCACAAAGACTGTTGGGCTTCTTTTGACTGAGGAGTATCATACAGAGTTCCTTGTTCCTTCAAATATCCAACTGCTTCTCTCAAATCAACCAACAGCAATCTAGGAGTATAAGTAACTTGTCTCTAGAAAAAGAAAATATTCAATTTGTCTTGGTAACAAATTGTGTACTTTTATATTTTTGTTTCAGAAATATATTATTATACATTTCTACCTTTAAATTTTCACCTTCTCTGTACAGAACATCATGATTTATTTCAGATGGATTATCAGAATCGTAGGAAAAATTAGTTTCCTAAAAATATTTAAACAAGAATTAAACAGTGTCACATTCTATTCCTAGTATATTTTCGCTATACCTGTATATTCCACCAATGAGTTCCGATAAAATTAGAATAATGGCCTAATTGAATAGTTAATATTTCTCGAGATGTCATCCTGTATTACGTATGTAATACAAATTTCTGTACGATTTCTATACGATTTAAAAATAAGGTTATACTATTAAATACACGTGTATTACACTACACATTTATTGTTTGTTATATGCACATCACTGATAAAACATCAATAACAGCTCGTCAAATAACAAAAGCATTATAAAAGCCAAATCTACTACAGATTGAATTTACGTTTTGAAAGCTTCTTCCATTTTACTTCCATTTCTTTCTTTCATAGTATGTGCAAGTACTATACTATATATATATATAAGTATTCTTATTATTATTATCTAAGTATTCTATATATATCATATAAGATTATATTCCAGTAGGAACAACAGTAAATTTTAGTGAAAGAGAAATTTAAATAACTCATAATGATATTAAATGTAAATAATATTAGAGGACCTGTAGATCATATATCTGATTTGGAAATAATAGGTGACTATAGTATTAATTGTGAAAGGGAATATTGTAGTGGTATAAAACAATTAAAATACTACAAAAAACCATTGAATAGTAGAAATGTTAATTTTAATCTTAATTTAAATGAAAATACAATACATAGGATAAATAAAGATGATAAACTAAATTATATATTGACATGGATACTTGATAATTTTGATAGTCTTAAAGTACAAGATTCAGAAGATATAACACAATGGTTAGCTTCAGATTTGTTAATATTATAAAAAATCTTAATCTTAATTATTTTAACAAAATGATTTTTAGGATACAACCTCAATTTGTTACATTTCGAGGAACTTTAAAATCCTTATTAATTACTCCATATGAACGATATAATGGTTGGATCATATGTGCTTCAAAATTCAAAGGTACAATATATTTATGTTCTTTTGACACAGAAGAAAAAAAGCGAAGAGAATTATTTAAAACTAATTACGAACGACTGTGTACAGACTGGGGCTATAAATTTGAGCAATATATGCTAGCAGGTACAATAAAATCATAAACAAATAAATTCTTGTATATTTTATCTTCAGCAATAGCAGAAGCAATATAAAAATGTTCTTATATTTAATATGAAGATACACCAGACAACGAGCCTAATACTTCTGAATGCCTAAATCAAAATGAAGAATTTTGCTGCGTATTTAAATCAAAATTTGGTCAAGATACTTTACTATATGCAGCTGAGTTAGATGGAATTTGTTCTAAACAAATTATAAAAGATACAATAGTAGGTAAAAAATGTGAATTAGTAGAACTAAAAACCATTCGTCAACATCTTATTTCCAATAATGGACCACGAAACATTTTTAAAAAATTGTTATGGTGGACGCAGTGCTATCCAGCAGGGATAGAAAAAATTGTATGTGGTTGTAAAGATACAAAAGGTTTTGTTAGAGAGATAAAAGAAGTGATGACGAGTACATTCCGCATAAAAGTAAATTAAAACAATTTTAATACTTTGACCATATAAATACATCTTAAATACCTATTTTTTGTTTACCACAGGTGGAAGAAGATAGATGTAAAAGTTTTTGTAGTGGATTTTTAAAAAAAGTGAAAACAATTGTCCATGAAGATTATGACAAATGTTTATATAAATTTACATATAGTCCACAAAAAAGGACCATTACTGTTGACAAAATGAAACCTGATAATGAATCAGAATATATGTTTTTATATTCGTGGTACATTGATAACATAAAGACTAAATATGAAAACAAAAAATAAGTAACTTAGTAAGAGTGAGTCAATTACTAAAATTATTTAAATAACGCATAATTTAATGCATAATTTTTATTGTTGTCATTATTATTTTATTACTTTTTATAATATTCTTATTATATTTTGAATATAGTTAAGAATTTTGACCTAAAATTTGTTTTATTGCTGACATTTCTTGGTAAGACATGGGTTGCAACATTAAACCTGGAACAGGTGGATTAAGTTCTAGATCTCTCAATTCATTCACTTTAACTTTTAAATTACTTCTTAGCTTGTTAATTTCAATGTCACATTCTCTTTGATCTGTAACATGATTGAAGATATAATTAATTATTACTTACTTTAAACATTATAACAAAAGGATGATTAATAAAAATACCTTTAACAAGTAGTTCTTCTGCAATTTTGGATGGCATCTTCACCAATAATGGCCCAGTAGTTATCCAAATTTTTTCACAATTCTCCTTCTGCAATGCCCTCATTCCAACTCTATCATTATTTCTTCTTTTATCCAAGGCAATTACTTCTTGTCGATCAGTGAGAATTTCATTAGCTTTTTCTTCTACTTGTTGTAAATGTTCTAGAGTCTTTTGTTCATTGAATTTCATCTATAACAAAAATTATAATTAATTAATCAAATATCATTCTACATGGAACAGTTTTTGTAGAGATATAGTAAATATTATTATTAAAATCGAATTATAAACAAAGATAAAAAATTCACATACACATTTAAGATATATAAAAAATTACACACAAATTATTTTGTATTCAGTCTTAGTTAGATGCATTATTAAATATTAATAGTTTATGAACTTCTTGTATATCATTTTAAGACAAAGCAATGCGCAATGCTTTTTCTTTTTTAACTTCCCTATTAAGTAATTTTTCCCTATCTTTTTTTTTTAAACACTTTTGTTTATGATCACCAACTGCTGTGGTATCTCCAGGTTTAAAATGAGTCACTCTGTATTCTTTCTCATTAGACATTCCTATTCCTTTTCTATCAGATTTTAGACAGGTTTTAATGGGGTATTTCATTCCTTTTCCTGTAGGACCAAGACCAACTTGTTCATCCCATCCATAGTTTAAAAGCATTTGATAACCTTTATTTTGTTTTGATATTCCATACATTATATTTGTTAATTTTGGTTTACTATTAAAAATATGAAGTGTAGATGTCTCATGTTCTTTCCAAATTGTTTGGTAAAAATTAATTTTGCAAATTTTACAATAAAATCCTGTCTCTTCTTTGGAACATTCTTTCCTATCATCGTTATTTAAAAGCTCTTGTCTCATCTGTAATGAAACATCCACATTTGTCTCTGAAATATTTGTAAGTGTTTCCGCTGTTTTGTTAGATGTAGGTTCTGATCTTTTCTTCAGCAATGCAACTATGTTCAAATAATTTTTTTTCAATGCTAATTGTGCTGCAGTAAGACCAGATCTTTCTCTAGCTTTTCTATTGGCACCAAGATTTAGTAAAAATTCTATAACATCTAAGTGACCACAATATGCAGCTGACATGAGAGGAGTCCAACCAAAATCATCGGTTAAATTAACATTCTCCCAAGTCACATACTCTGATAAATATTTCAAGTCTTTTTGTTCCACTGCTTTTAATATAGCATTAATTGTCACTTTTTCCGTGGGAGTCTGATTGTTTTTGGTCCTTTCATTTGACGAAACACTTTGATTGTTGAATCTTTTTGCTTTGTAATGTCTGTGTTCAGGCTGAAACGCCACATCGCTCTTTTCATTTATAATTTCTTCGTATGCCTTTCTTGCTTCATTTTTTTCAAAATCTAGGCAGTAATCTTTCTTTTGCGTAGATACTGTTGGGACATCGCAAGATTCTCGGACAAAAGTTTTCCACGTAACATCGATGTTATGAGAGAAGTTGTTTTGTTTTAACATTTCACACTTACATTTAATTTATATGTTTATGTATTAACATTTTATGGATGTATTTAATGAACGACAACAATGAAAGATATTACGAAATAAGTTACAATTACCAATTTTTTTAATGGAACAGTTACCTTTATAACAATGTAATTTCACCTGCAATTCCTGTGTTGTGGTATAGTCATTGACTAAAAAGCCAAAATAGATGTGACATTACATGGATCTTCGTATCTCACGAATTGTATTTGTATAAATCTTATATCAGATGCAAGTACTATATTTTAGTATTATTTCGTTAAATATAGATTTATAATTTCTGATATGAATGATGGTTTGGCTAACAATTCAATAAATCTTCTAACTACATGTATATTAGATGAATTATTTAATATAAAATTCACTTTTTACATCAGAAGTAGTGTAAGAATTTACTGCTCTAGTTAATTATCATGTACATTACACATTTCGGTAAACTTTTCTTCACAAGAAATTAGATCTATGTTATATTTCGTCTATGTTAAAAGTTATATGATCGTAGCCACATGGTCGTCTAATGATGAACTACGTACGTAGGATTACATAGTCGTACAAATAATTATATGTACGGGTATATAAGTAATTAATTTTTAAATATAAGATCTCGTAATGATTAAAAGAGAATGGCTTTGCAAAATCTCACGAAAATTTTGATTGGATGGTAGGTATGTGATGTAAAATATTTGTTTTGTCCTATTATATTATAACTTGGTTAACTTTTTATTTAAAAATTCGTAAAATAATAATTTTTATTTCAAGTGTCTAACATTATTATTATTATTATCATATATTCCAGCTGGTTTGAACAATACATCTTTTGCAGGTCTATAGCTACAGTTATAGGGGTATATGCTTTTACATATTCGAGAAAAACTGTAAATGAAAGAAGATATGAAATTCTAAAACAACAGAAGCAACAACAACAACGACAACAAACATAGAATTTCAATACTTTTAACTGAGTTATTTGTTTATGCATTTAAAATATAAAATAAAAAAAGTAGTTGATTAAAAAATGGCTGGATTACCCCAGTTTAGTGAGGAACAATTGAAGTTAGTACAAGATATAGAAATAGAAATGATGACTGACATGTTTCATCGTATGACATCAGCATGTCACAGGAAATGTATTCCACCAAAATATTCCACCTCGGAATTAAGTAAAGGTGAATCAGTATGTCTTGATCGATGCATCGCTAAATATTTAGATGTACAAGAGCGTATTGGTAAAAAGCTTCAACAAATTTCTTTGCAAGAAGGCAAAATTGTAGAACAACCAAAACTAAGTTGAATAAAATAAAATATTGATTTGTTAAGAGAAACATTTCTAATTTTTTTAAAGAACATAATTTAATTGTTTTCATTGAAACATTAACTTATTTTCTGTAATTTCTGTAAAATAAATTGTAATAATAATTTTATTCTATATTGTACAATGTGATTAATGTATGATTGGTAAATTATTTGATATTTTAAAATATCTAATATTTAAAAGTTTAAAATAATGATATTTCAAAAAATTCAATTTAAATCCATTGTAGTTTTGTTTTTAAAAGAGGAGTTTTTAATAATACCATAATTCAGAAGTAGAAAAATGTTTATTTCATTGTAATACATAATCAAGTAAAAAAAAAATAATGCAATCAAAAAATCAGTCGATATATCAATCATGAACAAAATGATATTTTTGGTAGCATGAAAAATTATGTACAAATTTAAGTATTATATTCATATCCAATTATTTGCAATAATAGATGTTGTATTACGGTATATTATACCGTGAAAAGTAATTTTCGTATTTTCTCCTTCATTGCAATTTTCGTTTAAGGAGAATGAAAATTCTTTCTTCTTTCGTTGTCCAAATTGTTATCACATACGCGTATAAAACACTTCAGTTTTCAATTTAATTTAATTTATCGTTAACCAGCAGTTTTTTCTTTCATAGGATGAATTGTTCCTAATACTAGTGTATGCTGACCTCCACCTGCAACTCGTATTATAGTTTTTCCCTCCAACTGCTTTCCTTTGACTAATGTAGGTATTTCAACATCTTCTTCTTCTCCTGTACCTAGCTGGCCACTTGAACCCATACCCCATGAATATAAATCTCCTATAAATAGATACGATGATGTCACATATTTTACAAGATAATATTAGCAAACAAGAATACACGATAATGATAAAAAAAAAAAAAAAAGGCTACCTAATTCAGTAACAGCAAAAGATTGTGCACTGCCTGCCGCAATGTCAACACACTTAAAGGAACTTAAACTAGGAACTAGTGTTAATTCTTTTGCGTCAAAACAATTAGATCCAAGTCCAAGACGACCATATTCTTTACGGCCCATAACATATACTTGACCAGAATCATCTAAAGCAATTGTGTGATGTTGCCCACTACTAATGTGTCTCCATATCTTTCCACTAAAGGTTTTTGAAATTTGTGGGTGAAAATGAGTAACAGGATCTTTTAAACCTATAATCGTTATATGATATTTAATCATTGTCTGAATTTTAATAATTAAGGATTAAATTTACTTATTAAGTATTGCCATTTATTAATAGTTTGTCGAAAACTTACCAATTTGATAATAATTATTTAATCCAAATACATATATATCTCCTTTCTGATATTCTTTAGCAAATGTACAATATGTTCCAGCCCAAATGTCATCAAATTCTAATTTTTTGGTAACTTTAAATTCAACTAAACCAGGAGTTAATAATGGGCTCATACCATGACGGGTATTTCTACTGGCTGCTCTAGCAGCTACTCGTCCTAGTTGACCTTGTTCTCCACATCCACATGTGTAGATATGACCATTTTTATCAAGCAACACTAAATGATCAGCACCAGATGCTATTTTAACTATCTTTACATTAGGCAATATTTCTATTGGAAACCGTTCATTTCCTTTTAAAGTCAGACCCATAGTACCATGAGAATCCTTAAAGGAATATTATAATTTCTTGTCAATTATCTCATAAAATTGATGTGAATTGATATTTAAAGTGGAAGAGAATTATACCCTAAAAGAACCCCATGCAAATACTCGTCCATCTTCTAATAAAGCAGCACTGTGAGAATCCCCAGCTGTCACCTGAATGGCTTTGCCAGGTAAATCAACAGAACCTGGTTCAGTTTCAGAACCATCTTTAGATGTATCGCGTCCCAGTGCTCCTTCGTCATTGCATCCAAATGTTAATACACTTCCTGTTTGTCTCAGGCACACATTGTGCATACCACCAGCTGCTATAGCTATGATATCTTGATATCCAGGAACAACTGCTGGACGTGTTTTTTCAACAATTTCTTCTCCTAAACCAAGCTGCCCAACATCGCCTTGTCCAAATACTAATAATAAGCCGCCAATCGCCGATTGCCGTAAATCAGGTTTCACAACCAATTCTGTGAAATGCATGCAAATGTCTAGCTATTTTACGATACGTAGGTTTAGCCAAGTACAATTATTTTTGTGCCGAACCACGTTATGCCGGTCACGTAATATTCGCGGCACTATAACTATAAAAATTATTACGACGGTTCCACGATACTTTTTAGAGGATACTAGCATACTTTTAACTACAGACTACAAACGGAGCAATAATTATCGATCGTGAAACACATTGCTTTGAATGCATCCATGTGCCTCGCTGTTTTACTTTACTTTTCATACAATTTCTCTGCACAGATAAATCTTCCAACGTTTAAAATACAGCCGTAAAGATGTTAATTAAAATCGACGAGATAACAATTTACCTTGTTTCTTCTTTATCTGTTTCGGCTCCCGGGTTTTTGCAGGAGTTTGAGCTGGTCGTTTTGTTGCTCTCCTTGGCGGCACTAGAAGTATACCAAGGTTATGTTTGCAGATGCACGTGTAAAACTATTTTCATGACTGTCACATACGGGTAAATAGTTAATATTAATATTGTTATTCATATACGTACTAATTTCGCGGAGTAATTGTTTCAGAAATGGAATATATAGCGCCTTATAGTCAATTGGCGCCAAAAGTTACAATGCTGCTCAACTTACGGCTGTTGCGCAACTCACCAGAGGCGCTGATGTCTGAAATTTTTTTTCGTACACACGAAAACTCGTCACGTTAAATATCTTTGGCTGATTTTCAACTTATTGTTAGATCTCACTTTCGACGCTGTGAAGCTCGATCTTTTTCTCTAACGGAAATCTTATCCCTCCCTCCTTTTTTTTGAACGACGGCCTTGCACGCGGGGAAATTCGATTTTGATCCGGTAAACCGTATACATCGCAACAAGTATTCGCTGGCAAGAATCGATCATCAATAGAAATCGATTATTCTGTAGTCGTCCGTTTAGTCGTGATGTGCATGCGTATATCGCTGCGTCGTGTATCTTTGCGTTTCAGTTAATTTTCACTTAGTTGTTCGCGTATGTACGTGTTTCAGTGATGATTTTAGTAATTTCGAGTGCGACAAATTTATAATGAGACAGATGTCAAGCATATATGCACAAACAGGTAAATAGTTGAAATATCTGTTTCTATATCTGCTACGGTAGAAAGCAATTTCCTCTCTTCCATTCGAAAGAAACGAAAGAGTCAATCACGACGCAGTTTTCTTAATTAATCGTAAATTTATCTAAATCAAAGATCCGAATAGTTTCTAGTATGGTTGTATCGTACCAATTCCTATCCTCTGTTCTTCGTTTGATTTTACTGTTAGTAATAAATGCGAGGGAAGGAACGTAGCCATATTTTTCGATTCGATTTCCATCGAATATGAAAATCGAAGTGAAGGTGTCAACGAAAGAATTCGAAATGCACAACCTAAGTTGCTCGATGATACATTCAGGGAATATATCACAGAGAGGAAAAAAGCATGAAATAAGTCACATATTCGGAATAGATAGAATTTCTTTTAGCGCGTTTGCAAAGACGCAATTTTTCATCGTTCGCAAAAAACGAGGGCCCTTCGATTATTCAACGCGATAAATTCACGGTGGCGCGCGATCGCGATTCGCAAATTGAGAGAAAACAGAAGGGGATAACGATACGCATCGAAAAGAATCGACGAGAGTGGGAATCAAACGGAACGAAAGAGGGAGAGAGAAGGGAAGAGGGGTTAGGTTTGAACCAGAGGGGGCTGGCCGGTTATCAGAGGGGTCAGATACGCTGGTGCGCGCCAGTCGAAGCCGAGACTTGGTCCGCGCAACTTCTCGCCGACTTCTCTCTGTCGAACGGTTTTCTCCGTTCGAACATTTTCCATTCGTCGATTTATCGTGCTCCTCGTTCGTATTCCGTTCTCTTTCCTCTTCTTTTTTTTTTTTATTTGTCTCACATCCTAGGAAAAAGAAAAGAAAGAAAAAAAAAAACACGATTTGCACGATCGCTTGCGTTTACCGGGATCGCGATCGAAAGAACTTTTCGAAAGAAATTGTCGAGTTTGTGTTTACTTTTTTGTTTATCGTTTTAAAAAGGACAGTTTGGACAAGAGTTCGAGGAACCCTGCGGTGAGAGAAGCAGTTCATGTAGAGAAATCAAGAATCATGACGAAAGTGCGCCAATACAGATTTCTCCCGCTTCTCGTGCACATCCTGCTCGGCGGTGAGTTTGAAAACATTTCTAATATGATGTTCCTTCTTCTTTTTTTTTTTTTTTGGTTCTTTTTGGTCTTTCAAACGAGAACGAAACTTTCGACGAAACGAATTAGTTGCAAATTATCGCACGTGTTGTATCACGCACGATCGAGGCAACGTGTTCGTCATATATTTATCTTAGCGTTCGATGCGAGATGTGCAGTTCGCGAGCGATAATAAATGCGCCAATTTGGAACTTTCCGCCGTTTGGAGTTTCAGCGCATCGATCGTCGAGCCTCGTAAGACTTGTTGAGTCGCTCCTTAAATCTTTCGCGCGAAACTATGCTCACCCGCGAACAAACTTATCCCGTTCGATACGATCCAGTTGGGGATCGTCTTTGATCGTCTTTGATCAAATCGAACAGATCTAATCGGAGATCGATCTGCGTGCATTCTCTCGATCGAACTAAACTAAAAGTCCCCCCGAAAGCCGCGCGTCGTTTTACCAACGCGTGCACGTGCTTCTCGCAAGTCTAATACAATTGTCGAGGGAAGAGATATCGAACAGCGAAGAATGCGGATCGACTCGACGCGGCTTACACTGTTCTTGCACTTTCCAAATCTCCGAGATCTACGTTCGAGATCTTCTACTTCTTTCGCAATCACCAGCAACGATATCGATCATTTTCCTCAAGCTCGTACATACGTACGCGAGCGTTTTCTCGTCCCCGTGCTTATCTTCGCTTTCTCCTCTTGCCTTGACTTTTTCTCATTCTTTATTCGAAGAGAAGTCCCAAAAGAAGGGAGTAATTACAAAAGAAAGAACGAATAAACACGCGGCGCAATACGGTATATCACCGCTCGGGGCGAGAACGGGCGACGATTATTAAGTTTCGTTCCGTGGTACGTGACGCGAAATTCAATGTGGCAATGGAGAAACACGCCTGTAAAGGTAAACGAAAATCCAGGAAACGCCGTAGTCGCGCGTATAAATATATTGTGGCGGGAGGAGGGGGAGTGGGAGGGGGTGGGTGGTGTGTGTGGGCTGGGCAAGGCGAATGGGCAATCGGTCTCTGAAAGCGCGAACAAAGGGACCAAGCGAACGGGGAAACAAAGGGGGGTAAAAAAAAAAAAGAAAAAATAAATCCACAACCCAGTTTTCTCGTTATCAATCATCCTGCCGATATTTCGAGAGTACGAACACCGGTCGTGTTGGGAAAATCCACGGGATGGACAGCCACGGACGAGGCAACGTTTCCGGGAATTCGATAATCGTCGAGGAGAGAACGAGGAAGCTCTCCGTGGGGTGAACCGGGTTTCCGTTTGTTTCGCCAAAACTCTGTTTTGCCGAGAATTCGTCCCCGCGTTAACGAAACTTGGGATATTGCGATCCGCAAACGGAAGTTCATTCGGAATGGTATTCGGAATGAAGTTATCTTAATTGGGTCGATCCGACATTTCTTTGCCAAGAAAAACCCACGTACGCTCCTTGATCTTTATCGTTGATCAACGCCGGTGTTGACTGGTTCTACGAGCAAATCACCTGTCGAAATTCTAATTTGTCGAGGGATTTGAGTTATCTTCCTTAGACATAATAAGGTTTGTACGTTTATTCAACAACGAGAGCAAAGGGTAACAAACGTAGGCAGATGCACGCGATTCGATGCTTAATTAATATCGGGGGCGCAGTTCGCGGCTTAGGATCGGGATTGCTTATTCGGGAAAGCGAGAGAGAGAGAGACGTTTCTTCTAGAAAGAAGAACAAAGCGGAAGGAAAGGGAACATTTAGAAGGAGGCAGGAGCAGAGGACATCCACGGCTGTGAAAGGAATAGCGATCAGCTATTTCCACCTCGAGAACCCGCTGAATATGCATGAAACAATCGCATATCTCATGCAATTAGCCGAGGCAAATCTTTTTCCCCTTCTTCCGCTCTTTCTCTCTTTCTTGCTCTTGCTTCTTTCCAACTTGTTCCCTGTCTCTCTCTCTCTCTCTCTCTCTCTCTCTCTCTCTCTCTCTCTCTCTCTTTATCACGTTCGTTCGTTCGATTTTGTCCAAACGAAAGGGCCGAAAGTCGTATTCAAATGGCATTTTAAACGGCGTTGATAGCTTCTTCCTTCTGTTTGCCAAATTTTCCTCTCCTCCTTTTCTCACCGTGTTTTTCCTTCGGCTCGGGGGATCGTTGTTTGCGCGAACTCCCTCGCAGCCAGTTGATTTTTCCACGTGGAACGACGCGAAAGTCCTCAGGTCCGTGGATCCGGAGAACGACGAACAGCGTCGCGGGAAGGCTCGGTGTCGTTTAAACATTAACCAGCTCGAGGCGTGCTTTAATGTCTTTCGGCAAGAGGAAGGAGAGGCAGGAGCAACGAGAGACAGAGAGAATGTTCGCGGCGCGCGAAAACACGTTCCGTTGACTCGGCAAACATTTCGTTCGCGGTCCTCCACCGATACCTCGCTGCCATGGATCCCGAAACCGCTTTCGCGTTTCCCTGGCAATCCTTCTCGGCGGGGCGGGAGGAGAGGGAGAAAAAAAGCCTTTCCGTTCGGTAAAAGAGCACTCCGGTGGAGCGGGGTGACTCGCTGTGTTCTCAGAAAACATCCATCGGGATATGTGGCTGCGTGCTCGCGTACGTTCGATCGAGCCAAAGTTATTTCTACGTTGTTTGTCTTAACGGATATTTTCTTATAACGGTGGACCACGTCGGCGGGAAGCTTTCAACATCGATAATCTGTCAACCCCGCCGGGAGGGGAAAATATCACCGAAACAACAGCTTCGAGAGTACGTACGAGATTTCGTGGCGGACACGTTTGGAATTTATAACGCGGGAATTCAGGGGGATAGAGAAAGAGAGTGGTCCCCGTTCGGTTTCGAACAATTTTCCGAGCGATTTCGTTTAGAATTTGCGACGCTACAGCAGGTACCAGCCAGACGAGTTAAACGAATAGACCGTTCGACCGCGCGTAGATGTCAAAGTAGCCTTTGTGCAAGAACCTTGCCGTTGGCGAGAGTATTAACTCTCGCACGGGGAAATATGGGTCAGAAGTTGACCGCAAAGTGATGAAACGGGTCGCGGGCCAGGTGGATGGAACCGCAAAGCGGAGTTAGGCGTGCCTTTCAGGCTGGCCTTTCTGTCGTCTCGGGTCCAGTTTCGAAGTTTACCGTACCACGTAGTCTCTCTCCCTCTCTCTCTCTCGACTTACGTAATTTCTCTCCGCGATTTTTCGTTCCGAGAGATAAAATCACGCGATACGCAGGTTGAAATCGAAACATGTTCCCGCCGGTGTAGGAGAACGCGATTCGATGTTTTTCTCAATAGATCACTTTAATCCAAAGACGTCCGAAACCCAGGTTAGGGGGAGGACATCTAGGCATTAGGCATGCCTCTTGCCGGAACTTGGGAGCGGGATTGAATTTCCCAAACGACATCGGATCGCGTGCGCGGGAGCAGATTCGATCGAAAGAAGGTCGCGGATTGTGTTCGGGATGTAACACCAGCGCCGAAAATGCTTCCGAACTTTGATTAAACGAGGTCGGTGGAATGTACACGTTCGCGGGTGGAAATCCTCTCGCGTTACAAACTCTCTTTCTTCAGTTCCTTAGTTTCTCGAACGAATTTCGGCCAGCGAATCGCATTTCCTTCGAAACCGTGCAACGAACCGAGACAGAGGCGGTCGATCGAGTCGGTTGCCGCGCAGTTTTCCCTTTGTTTTCAATGCGGCGCGAGCCATTTAACCACTAACGCGCTGACAACTGATTGCGGACCATAACGAACGACCAAACCCTATACAATAATTCGTCGCTTTCCTTTTGAACACGTCGGTATGATTACCGGATAGAAATGATTGAGAAGTGATAAATTTATTATTTGCTTTGGCTGGGTTAATACCTAAATATACTTAAAACTGAGAAAATATTGCAATTTTGGAACAAAAGAATTTTCGACGTGCGTGGCACGTCATTTCAACGCAAGGGGTTAATGGACCGTGTCCTTCTTCCCAGAACGAAACGGAAGAGGCACGTTCTCCGCAACTATCCGAGTCGTTTCCTCTTTTTTCTTTTTTCGCTGAAATTAGTAGTAGAAGAACGACGACCGGCGAGGCAATCTCGGCCGAGTTAGGCCTGTATGTACGTAGCGAGCAAGTTCCGATCGTGGACTAGTAGTCGATCACTAGGTCAAGTCAGGATAGAGTGTGAAGGTGATTCTATGTTTGACTCGGTAACAAAGTATCTGCTGTTTTTGTCGGCTGATCCGATTTCTCTGGTGCGCGGAATCGCGGAAATATCCGCGTGGCCGGTGAGTCGGAAATGTGCAGCGTCAGAAAACGCTGGAAACAATTACACGGGCCGGGAACGTTGGTAACAGGGTGAATTATACGGGGACAGGGAAGGGGAGGTGGCGGGGAGGGTTGGAATATGGCGTTATCCGGCATGTCCGGCAATTTGAAAGTCTAATGCAGGCTAGAATGATTTTTCTGAAAGGGGTCGCGCGGCCTGCCGTGTTTCGTTTCCCCGTGCCATCGCCACCTGTTGGGAACGGCGAATCCCATAAACTCTCTCTCCCTCTCTCTTTCTCTCTCCTCTCGGCTAGCCTTTCTGTCCGTAAACAATTGGAAGCTTTTAAGTAATTGCCACGCTCGTCTTGGAAAACGCGCTTCGGAACAATCGTATCCCGTGCTCGCTCGCTGAGAACGGTTCCTCCCCCACCTCTTTTCTCCCCCTGTTTCCGTTTTGTATTCTGCATCCTCGGGTCTCCAGGCGCCCCTACGGACGTGGAATCTTGTATTCGATTAGCCTGAATCTCGAAACGGAGATAAAACGAACGTTCTCCGTGAATCGAAAGGACGATCGTGTCTTCCTTCTAATCCACTCTCGGCAGTTGTTCTCGCCTCTACGGGCACCGAGTTTGGTCGGCTGTTGGGAGAACGTGTTACTCTGTATTTCTCTCTCTCTCTCTCTCTCTCTCTCTCTCTCTCTCTCTGTACTTTAATGAGGCAGGGTTGTAATCCGCGATTTTGATTTTCGCGCGG